CGGAGTCATGGCCTAGGCAGGGCCTGGCGGCGGCCGCTGGCGCAAGCGGAGCCCGCGGGGGTCCGGCCTGGTACGGACCGGCCCCACCTGAGTAACCACCAGCCACATCCTTCTTCTTCTTCTTCTTCTTCTTCTTCTTCTTCTTCTTTTTTGTCTTGGAAGAGGCTGTAGGTAATGCTTACCACAAATAAACAATAGCAGCCAAAGTGCTATTACATATTTTGTGTGCCCTGGTAATTAGCTGCTGGTTATACACACAATTAATGGGTGGACTGTTTAATACCGGAAATTACATTGTTCTCTTCAGGCTGTATATGTAACAGTCAGCTGAGGGCAGTTTTACCAGGAATTATCTATAAAAACCCTCTTGAAGTTTAATGAAGTTAAACATCTGGACAGCTTCCAGAGCAGAACAATTGAGCTCGAATATACTTTCATGGCAGATAATTTGCTTTCAGGTTAGGGAAACCTGCAGCACTGAACTGAGTGCGAAATCTGATTGTTTTTCTGTGCTTGGCTTGCAGAGTCTGGCCTACAGATAACTCACCCTGCGAGGAGCAGCGCTCGTGACAGCGGAGGCAGGCTTTCCTTATGCAAAAGGTAACAATTTAAACTCATTCCATGGGGTATCTCTGTATTTCTGAGATTGCATTTGGTTCTTAAAAATTCTTAAAAAATGCCTGCAGGAGACATACCTTAAGATCACTGAAGCAGTCTGACTTGCTTCAATTCCACTCAAAAGATCCTATGTGTAAAGATAGAGTTTATTTGTTGACAACAGAGCCTTAATGCACTGTAGTGGTTTGGCTGTTTTTTAATTTGTCTTGGATTGCAGCCTTTTCCAAAGCTTTGATTTCCAAATGACTCGTTAAGCTTAAGCTTTACCGGGCCTGAACATAAAAGCTGTACTTTTATGTTTCTTACATGTCATCTGGAATGCGGAAGCTCAACTTAACTGTGGATGTGTCTCCTAAGACCTTTCTTCCTCTTGGGGCTTCATGTGCTGCTGCTTTATGAGAAGGCTGACTCCGCTTCTTCAAAGCTTTTGTTCCTGTTATCGGAGAGGAATCAAACAAAATGGGGAGTTTCTGTGTGGGAGGCAGTGCCAACACTAACCGTTATTTCATCTGCAATTATATCTGAGTGGCATAAGGGCATCCACAGCCAAACTTACTGTTTTTCTTGTTTTTCTGCCAAGAGGATTTCCTGATTCCTGAAATTATCCCCATTGCCAAGTGATATGGTCAAAATCACGTGCTGACCAGGCCTAATTGCCTCTAGAACTACAGATCTGCAGTCAGGGTAGATCTGCTCCTAAACTGCAGACCAAGAAGCTTCTCCAGTTGTTCTCTTCGGCAGGCCTGATCTGGCTATAATAATAATATTTATAATATAATTAATTACCCAGAGCACATTTTTAACTGCAGATTGCTTAGATGCTTAATATAGAGGAAATTACACCAGTCTGAAGGCGCTGTATAGCATATTCCTCTTTTCTGATAACAATCACTGTGCTGATATCTGGCACTTTCATACCAGCATGTAACTATGGTGGATGTCTCACTGTATGTAACGTTACATGCACTGGTCTAATTAAAGCTATACGCTCTTCTAGCACAGAAGCCTAAGGTTTTTCCTTTTCAGTGTGTTTTCTTTTCGGCTTTGCTGGCTATAACACACCCAGTTCTTCTCTTATGCTGCCATGAATGAGGAGCCACAGAAGTCACTGGTCCTACACTGACGTGGAAGTAGGTTACTATGAATCAGGTCTAAAATCTGTAAGCAGTCACTTTTGATTAATATTACTTTGTGTGGCATCAAAGACCTATTGTGCCAGGGAGAAGAACAGAAGGTATTGTTACAACTGAAAAACGAAGGCAGACTTTTGTGTTGTGTGCACATACAACCAGTGGCAAGTTTTCATCCTCCACTACAAGTCCACAGGTTTGCAGAGGCCACTGCAAAAATATCGTCTGCCTACAATGTTTTTCCTGTGGAGAAACATGGCTCTTTTACCTCTGTCTTTTGACTAGTAAATAATGTAATTCTGCAGATTTTGCAGAATTTAGGCAGTTTTTATGTGATAGATTTATGCCTTAGTGTCACAGCAATCACCAGAAAACAGGGGCATAAATAACAAACCCTTTGTTTTAGGATTAAAGAAGCAAATGACGACTTTTTTTTTTTTTGAAAGGATAAGTATTAGTTTATTTCATCATAAGGAAATCAAAATATACAGTACAGTATCATTCAGATGCTAGTGTGAATTAAAAAGTCAGGCCCACTGTTCCCTGTCTGAGCTAGCCCAGGGTTGAATAAACCACAGAAATCTTAAATTTTCTGTCAAATTTCTTAACTACAGTTATTACGAGAGTCTTGTGAAGCAGGGAGAGACCTGGTCAGCCTTGATTTTGTTTTTTACTAGGATTAATTACAAGTATGATATAAACAAGTATCTGATGAAACAACTAAGGTTTTTTCCTATCATCTGAAAAACATTAATAGAAGGATTGTAGGTACAGCCTTGGAGTTAGGACTGCAGTGGGGACGTGGGTGCCCCTGTACGTGCCTATTAGAACCTTAAATAGTTTTTAATTTGTTATCCCACCTCACCAAGACAAGAGAGAAGTTGTCTCAATCATGTAAAGCCTTTGCGTTTTAGCTTTTTAATTTACATTAATAACCAATATGAAGCATAACCTTATAACCACTGATTCTATTATACTGCAGACTTTGCTAATTTCAGCACTATTGAAAACCACAAAAGGTGGCTTGGTTGTTTTTACTTTTAGGTATAAAGTTTATCAAAGGAGTTTTTTTTTTTTTTCCCTGGCTGCTGTAAAGCTCACTAGTTGAGGATTTGTTTCTCATGCCTTACTGCACAAACTGCATTCCTTTGTCACATGCACTTTTTCTGTCATTTATTTAATTCACTACCACTTTCTTACCTTACATGCACTACCCTCCATAGACTTAAAATCATCCACAGGACCTTTCTTTAAATGTAATACTACACATTGCTTCTTGACAGAGTTTTGGTTTAATCTTTACAGTTAACTTTCTAGCATCTAATCAACAAATCCTGTAAATGATATACCCTAAATGATACACCAATGTTTGCTTTAGCCTCAGGCATTTGATGACAGCCATATAAAGGAAGATAATGAGTCATCTTTACTGCATGGGAGCTTTTAGAGAGCTGCTGATCCTTCAGCAGCCAAGTGTATTCATTACTTGGATTTCCCAGCAGGTAGGATAGACACGGGATCTGTTTGCACTTCGGCATCAGACATCCTTTTGGGACCCTGTGAAATAAGATACAGAAATTTATAAATATTGTTGAACATTTCACAACAGTTAAGTCTGGAATTATGTGTTAGGTCTGGCATTATTCTCATTAAAATATCCCTGGCCCAGATGGTTCACTGAAACCATGATCTCTGGGTTAAGAGTCCTTCAAGCATGATTAATAGTTATATTATAGCCAGCCTTGGACTGCTCTAAGTTAAAGGAACGTTAAATACTTTTATGCATGACAGTTATGACAGTTATTTGACAATGTTAGAGTGAAACAACTGTTTTACACTACAAATAAAATTTTCATTTTGGAACTAGTTCAGGACACTAATCTGACTTAGGTGAAGGAAATGCACTGGTCTAGATACACCAACTAAATTTTTGACCAATAATTGACAAAAGCTGGGCGTTATTTTAAGATGCCTTGACCCAGTTTTACTGGCCTTGAAGCCATTGAACATTTCAGAACAGCAAAATGGCTCCACAAATTTTAGAGGTTACAGTTAACACTGTATGTGGATGCAAATCCTGTTTGTAGCCAGACACCTAAATCGTTATATGCTTAGCAGAGTAATATAGTGACAAAGCTATAGCTGACTGCTAAATGCTTACGAACTGTGAAGAATCATGTGCTAATTGTCCTTTCACACAGTTATGTTTCACATGGGAAACCTGACTCATCACTTCAGGTCACCATAGGATTGTTCTGTATCAGACTGGGGGAGTGAAAGATCCTGACTTCCTCATCCCTTTTAGGGAGGTAACGGCAGTATTTTTTATATGGATTAGGCTCAAATTCATTTGTATCCTTCTAATTTTTCACCTTTGAAAATCTTCAGTATGAAAAAGAGCAGCTAACAATCACAACGGACTGAGAGAATCCTCTGCCTTTTGCTAAATGCAATCCTGTGCTGGTGGGAGTTACAGCTCTGCTTACTGCAATGGATTTGCTTCTACTTACATCATTGCTGAATTTGGAACAAACAGTAGAACAGGGTGATGTTTTTTGGCTATGTGTATCCAGCAGCATACAGAAACACTTAAAATATATTGAAACAGGTTCTAATGCCTATCAAACAGTACCAAACAAGCTAGTCATTCCAAATTTGTCCAGCAATCCTAACGGTCTAGACTGTTAGATGATTTCTTACATTACAAGATTAACTTGGGGGTCTATCAGCTGTAACGGTTCCTGTGCATGGTTTAATAAAGATATTAAACCATTTCTAGGCTGACCTAGGAAATAAGATGATACTATTTTCTGCATTTCCTATAAATGATGCAGACTGGGTGATCCTTTCAGATAATCCCCATTTTGACTCATGTAGCACATTTGCAGAACATTGTCATATGTTAGTGTTTGCCTATGCTACAGTCTCTCTGCTGCACCCATTTTCAAGGTGGCTTGCTGATTAAAATAGGAAGCTTGGAAGGAGACTCACCAATGATTCCTGTTAAACTGGAATTTCCAAGCCTTTTGTGAAATACAGAGCTTTGTTCCTGTGCTTTTAATGGACAAATTCCAGATCTGTTCTCAGGTTCAGAAGCATAAGTGCCATAGGCTCACAAGTTGCTCTCCGTTACTTTTTATGACCCTCATAAGCTCAGTGGAAGTTGTCCCCCTTTGTGACGGTTAAGCTGGAACATATTTAATTTGGCAGAACCCTTTAAAGTGCGTACGTAGGAATGTCATGGAGTTGGGGTAGTTGATTTTTCAGCTTGTCTTCATCAGAAGTTTTTGTCAGGATACCCAATAATTCTGATCTGAATAGGCCAGGAGGATAGTTTCCGCATGCTAAGCGCTCCCAGCTTCGAACAGCGTCAGTATGAGTTATTTATTTCAGCTCAGAAAACAATGCCTTTATCCTTTTTTTTTTTCTTTGTAAATACAAATCTGTCTAATTATCTAGGTTACAAATTCATCTTTTTTGCTCTAGGAACAGTCATTGGACCTTACTGTCTGTGCCAGAACCATGCAAGTTGTGCCATAGCACTGTTTGCTTGTTTAAGTGGCTCCATTTGTATCAAAAGTTTCAGCATTTGTTGGCCTAAAATGGGAGCAGATGCCTGAACTGAAGTGTTCTCGTCAACTACTTTCCTGCAATATGACATCCTTTTACACTGTGCCATTTTCCAGAGAAATCAACAGGTTCAAGAGAGAACATTGTTAACATACTGCTATGGAAATAGCTGACCAGAATTTAGGGAGAGCTCAGTGGGCATGGATTATGTGAGCAGGTAAGGCCTATTGGATCTCCTGTTAAATATCTTCCATTTTCTCAGCATAGAGCTCAATATTTTGTCCGAGAAGTAGTTACCAGGTACCTGAGCTGTTATCTTGAAGGGAAATTTCAGGATTGGTTTCTTTCTGATATAATACTTTTAGATTAGTGATTACACCTTCCTGAGACTTAATTTGATCACATATGAGATATGGAGATTATTTTTTGGAACTATTGCAGAATAGGTTTCTTAGGTGTGGGTAATCTTCTTAGAGAAATAAGAAGAGAGGTGGTCATTCTCTGTGAAATATTTTTCATACACAGATCTCTTTGGTTTTAAATTTAATTCTTCTTGTAGAAAGGAGCCAGAATGTCCAGTGCAAATGGGACTATGTACTTAAACGCTTCAGGAGCAGGTTGTTTTCCCCAGTTCAAAAGGAGAATAAACTGGTCAAATCAGCTATAGTGTTATCAAGAACTTTGCTTTTTTTTTTTTTAAAGTGCCATCTTCTATTAATGGGAGATGTGGAGATACTATTGGCCTCTATAAATACAGCAGAAGATAACGGACTACACAGTTGAACTGTCTGGCATACTCTTTGAACATGCAAAACTATCTCACAGAGCATCTCTTCCTCCTATGCCTTTTTTCTGCCTTTTTTTTTTTTTTTTTCTCTAGTATGGTCTTTTTACTTCTGTACAATCTCTCCTCTATTGATCAAAAGCTTTCTCCTCTCCTTTGAATCAGAGATACCTTTCCTGCATCTCCGAGTGTTTTAAGAACTTGCACTTGAAAGGATGTTTCCTTGCTTGGTTACACTTCCTAATCTCTCTGGAATAATTCTAAATTTGTATCTATTGTTACACTCTACAAAAGATTTTTGGATACGGTTTGTGTGAATGACATTATACAAAATAAAGTACAACTGTCAACAAGCAGAGAAGCCCATTCTCATACACTAGCTTCTGTGAGAATTTTGGCAGAGGAAGGCTCTCAGGACTTAATTTCAGCAAATCTCCAGACCAGGAAAACAAATCTCGAATATCTCCAGAAATAACAGAGGTAGTTAACATTTACCTATTTCTAGATAACGTACGCCAGAAAAATGTATCTCTTTCTCCTTTCCTCCAGTTGACATAAGAGATCTGTTACCATTTTCTAAGTGGTTTAAGTAACAGAGCTCCCGATTTTACTTCTAGGAGCAGGGAAGGGCAGTTTCAAGTATAGATTGCAGAATACTACAGCTACACACCGTGGTTGTGAGTGTGACTCACATGTTACACAATCACACCACTGTGTGGACACACAATGGCAATTTCATGCAGCAATTTGGAGGCAGGAGGTGAAGAAAGAAAAGTGCATATGCTCGAGCATACATGTGTTTGATAATTTCATATAGCTAGTATAACATACAGATACATATAAAGCAACAGCCTGGCCTTTTCACGTTGTGCTAAGTAAAAAGATTTCTCCTCTTGATTTCAGTGGGTGCCATAGATTAATGGAAGTCAGTGGAAGTTGTTGGTTACGATAGGTGAGCTCCATGACTTCCTTGTTCCATTGAAATCTACAGGAAAATCCCACTGATTCGTAATAGATCAGGATTTTACTGCAGAACAGTGGGGTGAAACACAAAAAGCAGAAGTGGCTGGACAGTTATTAATAAATCCCACAGAAAGAGTTCATTCTTTTGTTCTTAATCCCCCTGCTAACATGTAATTATTTTGGTAATGCAAATAGCTCTTTGTAGGATATAGAGTAATTCTGTGAAATGTGTGTAAATTAAACACTTCTTATGATGTGGAAAAACATCTGCCTCAAAATGAGTCATAGTGGTCTGTATAGCAGCCTAACTTTATAACCGAGCGTTCTAACAGAGCTAATTTTCACATCAGTGTTACCATTTCAATATGTATTACTTGACTTTTCTTCTTTCAAGCCTGGAGGGCTGCCTAACTGTTTTTTCCTTTTATTACAGCCTTAGAAGCAGAGTAGGGAAGAAAGTAAAAGCTCTATATAAGTCTCACAGCAACCAGATTCACTACAAAGCGTTGCAGGTGATGTAGTCAAATCAGTTTAGACTCTTTGCAGCACTTAGAATTTGTGATGAAGCTCAGTTTGCAAATGAGCTTTCCAAAAGATGCTAAAAGTGACCTCATAGCTCTGTGGATTCATTGCTGTTGTGGCAGATTGCAAGGAAAAAGGAGTAATCTGCTTCCTTTCAACTGATTTATAAAAAGCAATGGAAATCTGCCCTCTTGCAGTGAAGCTTGAAAGGTAGCCCCAGGTCTAGCTTGTGTTTTTGTTTCTGCATTGACCTCTGAATGTGGTTGAGGAGGAAAAAAAGAAAAGGAGGAGGAGATGAAGAGTTCCCACCTATTGAGGGCTCTGGGGAAGCTCTAGTTGCATCAGTAATACCAAGCCTTGTAGAAAGTTGGATTTTTAGTATCTTGAATTCTTTTGTATCTACATTTCAGGTTTTGGTGAAGGGAGCATGGCAAGCCAAGAGTGAGATTTTACAAAATAAGGTAGGAAGAAAAAATACACCCGTATTTTTTGTGCTCTAACTAGTCTATTACTGCTTGATAATGCAAGGAGCTTACCTAGTGATAGCACTTGTCAGCTCCCATCCACCAAGAGGTCTACCCTGTTTTTTCTCCTGGAGGTTCATTTACCCCTTCTTGCAGGGGATGCCCACGCTGCTTTGAAGCAGCAGCTGAACCACCATCGTTGCAGGCAGATGTACTCTGGTAAACCCGCACTTTTCCTTTATATATACACCATAATTTGTAGGTTGTTCAGTACCTGCTACAGGGAGAGAGTTGAGTCATCCCTGTAGCCAGGGCATGAACCTCTAAAACAGGGGTGTGGGAACAACTGTAGCTGTCCCATCATAAAATGTACCTGCCTATGAAGCCCAAGGCCCAAGTTTTTTTTAGCCTCTGACTAAAAAAATTGCTGTTTTTTGGTCTTAGTCCTGAAAGCTGCTTGTAAAATTGCGCTCCTGTGTTCTAACCCCCTGTGCCATCTGGAGCACTGTGCACCAGAGCACGAATCTCATGTGGTAAACAATTTACAGGTCTGGTGTTTAAATCAGCTGCATAATGACTTTAAAAGGTAGGATGAAATTAACGTACGAGGCCCTTTAAAAACCCTCCAAATGACTGCCTCTTCTCTGTCTTCTTGAAGGAGGGTTCCTTTGAAGTGTCTCCTCCATTCTGGATAGCATCGGTCTCAGTTGTTTGCTGCTCTCTGAAGTCTGGCTGCTCTCTGGTTTCCTGTTTGTTGCCTTTCTGCTTGCTCAGCTCCACTGTAGACTTCTTGTCTTTTGAACTCTCTTTGCTCTTTTGGCCCACAGGTTCACTTTCAGCTGGGGCAACTGGCCTCTCTGTGGAGTTTGATGTCTAAAGCAGTTTCAAACAATGGTTATTTTTAGTGGGGAAATGTAAACATTTTGGCAGGCGATCCATAAATGCATTAAAAAATGAAAGGCCACCTGTCAGGGAGAAATCCTGCTATCCAACAGGTTTTCACTTACAAAGTTTGAGACTGACTCCTGCAGCCTTGACTTTGGGAAGTACTCCCAGGGAGATTTGATAGGATTACTTATGAGCAAAGACTGCAAGATCAAGCCATTACTGCATAGACTTGTTTGTCTATGCTGAAGCTCCTTTAGGAGGCAGAGAACACGGACGGAAAGATGCACAGTCATAGGCATGCACTTTCAACTGTGACTCCTTCAACTTCTGCATCCCGGGCTGTGAAAGTTCCCGAAAAGTGCAAGAGTAAGGTTTGAGAGAGAAAGGAAGTAACCGACATCAAAGTAAAGGATAAAAAATGAAAGATAAATAAAAGTCCCCTCTATAAAATTGCAACATTCCACCAAAAATTAACAACATACGATTTGCCTATGGAAGGCCAGTGTTACAGAAAATTCCGCATAGAAATGCAAAAGAAGAGACAGTGAATATTCCAAAGATAAACACAATGACAGGGCACCTATTTATAGGAAAGGCAAAGATTCTGAAACTCAGAAAAGAACGGCATGTGATTGAAGTTCACAGGACAAAATTCAGATCTGGCAAACAAAGAGGATAAGACAAGGAAACTGTTTCCGTAGTAGCAAATAACTAGATATGTTTTTGCTAGGAAATCTGCTTGCAAATAGGATTTTCTTTTTCCTTATGCCAAAAATCATATTACCTTATTTATTTATCTATTAAAATAATAATAGAAATGTTGTCGTAATTAAGCGCGCAAATTTGTCATGTTTAAATGCTGGAAATCTGACACTTGCGCTCAGGCGATAGCTTAGAGCTTAATGATGTGTACTTTTCCCAACTTTGGGATATTATCATTACTCTGGAAAAGTTTAGTGTTCTTCTAAAAGCCTACAGTTATATGTTTACGTGACAAGCTTAGCTTTCATTAAAAACAAAGACATTTTTAAACATCATGATATCAGAGAAAAATCTGAAAGCAGAAACTCTAGAGAAATAGTATGCAAATAAACCTATCATCAGATATATTTCAAAAAAAAATCTCAACTCAATCTCTGGGGTTGTTTTGGGGAAACAAGAAAGAGAGGGGATGGCAATGCTACTACTGGCCTTTTTCATTTGATTCTCCTTTTTTCCCTACCCAGTCTTTGAAAAAAAAAAAAGTTAGTTATTAGAACCTTTCTTGCAGCAACTGTTTAATGCATTCAGTTTTGACTGTTCAGCTTAAGTCCTCAACAAAAGATGTGCTTATATTTAACTAATTCCCTTCCTAAGGGCAGACATTTATATGTGGGTGTATATTTGCTTATATCCGATTTGTCTGCTTTTACATGTAAAATATACAGTCATGAGGCTAGCCTTTTTTCATTCTCTCTACTCTAGTTCTGCAGCAGAGACATGAAGACAATGCATGAAATGTGGAGGTGCAGTCCTATGAACAATAGCCCCATGCACCACAGGCAGTCTGAAAGCTAAAATTTTATTAAAGCAAATTCAAGAACCTCAAAATACAAAAGGACTGCTAGGTCTAACTATACAGACATTGCATGCTATCTGCATCTTGTTCACCTCACTTGAGGAAAGAGACCTGCTTCAATGCACTTTTGAGTGCCCAAGTGATGCAAAATCTCTCCTAGTACAAGGAGCTTCATAAACCCAAATGTAATTCTGTCTGTTTTTCATTCTGACTCACTTCAGCTACCAAAAGGGAGGCACTCGGTTGCTCGCCCCATCAGTTAGCTTTACAAGATCCTTGTAATTTGCCCTGGTTTGCTTTTGAAATGTATCTCTTTGGTGCAGTTGCAGATATGCATATTCAGTTCAGAAATAACCACATCACCCAAAATACTCCTATGAGATTGGATAGGTCTGAGTTCAAAGGTGCCAGAACAACTTCTGTCCTGTATTAACACTCTGTGAAATCTGTGGGTTTACTTTGTGGGTGAAAAATTGCAGTAGAATCTTCCTTACCACTTGTATTTGATTGTATAGGTGCCTTGTAGTTACAGTACTGCAGTCAAATCCAAACTGGAGGCAACAGGACTATTTCTATGAGCAGGTGTGGGCCTTTGATGTTAGTCAAACAAAACACTTTAAAAATATTCATAATATATTTCCCAGGCATAATAAGAAAAAAAATCAGATAATCTCTTTGAGGTGTTTCATCTTAACCCTGAAAGGCAGGAAATTGACATATTTTATATTGATGGGAGCAGCTCAGGAAATAAAAAGTGAAAGCTATGAATAATGAAACATGTTAATGTTTCTTATTCTAAAGGTTGATCTACAACCTGGGCTGATCTGATCTTCAGTGCCACTGAAAAAAAATAATAAAAGATTACCGGGATAGTATTTTTCCCTGTCGTGTTACAGGAGGCCTTAATCCAAGGCTCCTTTTTAAACGCAAAAGAAAGACCTCATAAATTTCAGTGGAATTTGGATCAATGCTCTAATGCATTTCTGCAGCATGCAGAATGGCAGTAAGGAAAAGTGAACAAGAATCACAGCATTCCAGAAACACTACAGGATAATTTAAGGAGATGATTGTTTCACACAAATTCTAAAACAGGAAAAAGTCACAAAAGCAGATACATTCTTCTCCCGAGTGGTTTTATATAGTAAAACTATACTAATTTATACCAGTATAAGTGAGAGAAGAAGGAGGACTTATAAGTTGGTTTAAAAAAATGGAAAGAAACTGATTGCTACTTAAAATAATAAGAAATAGACCCAGGACTGTAACTTTTAGTCACCTAACTGGATTGTCTGAAAAAAACCCGAACAAACTATTGTATGAAATAAGGAACAAAGATCACGGTACAAAGCCTTCTATATTCTGGGATGCTCTTAGAGAAATAATTTGCAGAGATTAACCTTAGTATCATGGGACATCATGAAAAAGGGAAAAGTGAGAAGATCATTTTGCTATTAATAAAAACAGAAAATAAGGAAAATTTGAAAGGCCAGTTTTCAATATAACTTCAGTTTTTCTCTTGGGTTAAAGAAAGCCCTATGTCTATACACAGAACTTAATTCTTATCTGTTGTTGCTGGTGTTAATCATGCTGAAGAACTGGACTTGTAACAGATGAGGGTTTCACTCAGAAAAGATAACAGTATTTGCATTTCCAGTGAAAAAGTGATTTTCTGAAGTATTTTTCAAGCTGTGAAGAATGTAACGTAAAGGTCACATCCAAAGTTTTGGTTCAGATTTTATGAACAGAGAATCACAGAACAAAGAATAAGGAGGAGCTATTGTCATGTTTTTTTCTTATATTTCAGTGAAAAGTTTTCATTTTCACTTTCACTTTTCTTCCATGCAGTTTCCATCTAAATGATTCTATCCTCAGCAAACACAAGTAAATCTACAAAATAAAAATTATTCTAGATGTATGTAGTTCGTTTCACTGCCTAAGCCAAGGAATGTGCAGAAAGTAAAATAATGGGGAGGGAGAGGGGAGAGAGAGAGGGAGGGAGAGAGAGAGAGAGAGAGAAACAAAACTGAACATAAAAACACTTTAAGTATTTTATTTTAACAAAAGAAAAACATTTCAAAAAAAACATGATTTTTAATCTGACAGTGATCCTTTAAAATCATGTTTAATAGGATGAATAGGTAAAATAAAGAGATAAATAATTAATTAAATAAATAAATACATGAAACTTAGCGTGAATCACTTTTCTGGTAGTGATTGTTACATTTCCAAAGCTACGAGGTGTATGGAAGTAGGTGACAGGAACCCATCACCAAAAGATGAAAAAATCCAGGCACTTACTTGGTGATTGGGGTTTGGCCCATTTACCTCTTCTGATTTGGTTGTCCCTCCATCACCCTTGACTGACTAAAATAACAAAGGATTATAGGACTTCTAACTCGGATCTTGTTTTAAGCAATATGAAAACACACATGAATCAAACAATGCAAGGTTCAATTTAAGGATGTTCTCTACAACACTAAAACAAAACCAGACATTTCAGAGTATCTATCGACATTTTTGAAATACCCACATCTCTAAGGTAGATTTTTCCCAGATCATTTATAAGTGATGTAACTGTTTTTTCAAAGGCAATTTTCCCATTTAGGCTTGAGAAATATGAATGGGGTCTCAGTGGACCAGAGATCATGTCATCTGATAAACCAGGTAGTGCTATCAACCCTTTCGTTTCAAGAAAAGAGCTTTCGCTTGCATTTCAGGGACAACCCTATCTTATCTGTTGGGACTTCCTGTTTATTTAACCATATTAGTGCATATAGGGAATAATTAAAACCTACTCAGCTTCATAGATATATTTTTATATTTTGTCATAGTCATCCATTTTTCACAATTTTCAATTTCCAGTTTATGCCTTCCCTCTCAAATGAATGTGTACCTCAGGGTGACAGCTCTTCTTGATGCCCACTGTTTCTAGCCAGAGCAATCAAAGCAGACCCTGAGGCTGTAGCACAGGCAAGTCATTCAAAGGAAATCTTGACTCTGAACTATATTTTTAAGGTATGATCCCCTGTATCTATCTTAAAAATAACAAAAACCTGAAAACCTGTTTGACAAAACTGGCTCAATGAGTGAATATTATAAGATCAGTGACAATTAGATTGGATTTTGGTTACTATTAGTAATATAAAAGAAACAAAAATGATGATATGTGCATGTTTAATTAAAAAGCATGCTGGAGAGTTCAACATGATATTCTCCTGAGTATCATTTAAGCCACAGAGTAGCAAAGCATAAAATAAACTCCAGAATTTCAAAGTGCCTGAATTTAAATGTCATTTTTCATTGCATAAATTCAATGAAAACAATGAAAGGATATGACTTTTGCTCTAAAGATAGATCAAGCGGATTTGTGGTTTTTCTGCAGCTTGTAGGTTTGTATCTTGCAGCACAACATTATCAGCTTGATCCTACGTACAATGTTATGACAAGGATCTGTTTCAGTGTCTAATTTTCCTATAAAACCTTGGAAAATCAGTATGTAGCAGCAGCACGATAGAAAACTAAACCACTCTATGACAATTCATTACCTGCTACAAATTGTGAGAACAAATATTCTCCTTCTGGAGCATGCCTTTGCTCAGACTCTTGCATGCTTATGCTCATGAGAGCTTTTATCTGTGTGAGAGGTTGTAGAAATGGAGGAGAGGAAGCACAGTGTGGTCTGTCTTAACATTACAGGCTAGTAACTCAGTCCAGAGTGTATGAAGATGTATTGTGATAAGATCTAGTTTTCATTTCTATTTCAGTGACTCTTTAAATGCCTTCAGAGAAATGTAACGATGTTAAGAAAGTTTACACTATAAAAGCAACCACTTTGCTACCTTTTATTTTTTTAAAAAAGAACAGCTTTAGCCAACCTTTAATAATCGCTCTGAGTTTTCACCAGAAGAACACAGAAGAGTAAAGGCCTTGTGGTCCTTACCTAGACAAAGTTCCCTACTGCTTTCAGTGGCACTTTCACCTACTGACTGTAAGGATTTCGCTCAGGAGGAGCACTGCTAACTTCTTATTCTTGGCTTTGATCATTTGGAATTGCTGCTGCTGAGTTCCTGAAAGTGTTTTCTACTTTCCGTGGCCATATGGGTGGATCAGCATATCTTTAAATGGAGAAGGGTGGGGTCAGGCAATAGACTTGCTACATTTTTGTAACTAATGAAGGGAAATTAATGTAGGACAACATAAAATAATTATTCTTGAATCAGAAAGCTAATTGCATGTGAGGCAGGGGGCCAGCATAGCCATTGCAAAATAATTCCTACAACTGCAGGCACTTAATTTGGAAATAGCCTTTTTTGTTATTCCAGCATGATTTACTCAGTTTGGGAGTGTTTTCATTAATCCAGAAATTGGACATTTTATATGCAGAGGCCAGTGCTATTTCAGACCATCTCTGCTGCCAGTCAATTTATTGGGAAGACAAGGGTATAAACCTCAGTTTAAGCTTAGTATTTCTGATCATTCTAATTAAAGAATGCCATTTTATGTTTTTAATTTGCCCACAAAATATCTCAGAATAGAGATTCTGCAGATATAAGATTGGATAGATTTATCCAGCCTCACATCTCTGTTTATATTGTGTGGAGAAAAATAGGAACTTCCAGGTTCAGATCATCTGACCTATTCTAGATACTTACTTTTTTATCTTTAGAAGTGCTTACCTCTATTCGTTGTCTTTAAAGAAAGCCTTATGTGACTAGCTCAGATGTAGCCATTTCTGTTAAGACATCTGCGTTGGGGGGTTAGTTATATCCCACTCTGTATATAAGATAGCTATTTGATTTTGATTAGTGAAGCACGAGTGACATTTTCAAGTGGCAGCACAACATTTCGTATTCATGTATAAGGTGTGGCCTAGTTAGATAAAATAGCAACGATATTTCTTCATCTGTCATTGAATCACAGGGCTTTAAACAATACTTTGTCTCTTACCACAATTTCCCAATAGCTTTTGTAGCATACTAACATTTAGTTAACCCTCTCCTATTTCAGCCTCAGCGATGACATTTGTGACCCTTGCAGTTGCAAGCAATTCATACCAATTAAGAATGGACATCTGCATTTAGCAAGTCAGCAGGCAGCCTGCGACATAACCTTATTTCTAGCAACGGTTATCCTTACATCAACAGCATTAATTATGGTGCTATGGATCTAAATGTCTAATTGCTGTGGGCCTGTGCTGGTACTGTCTGAGCAGAATATGTCACTTTTCCTTCCCTAAGCTTAGATGTTTCTTTCTCTGTGGTGATCTGATGATTTAAAGATTCCTTTCAGTATGAAGATCCCTAAATAGATCAAGGAACTCAACGCAGAAGCTGAACAGCAGATAGTTTTCTGATCGTACTTTCTGTTCTGGAGAATAATCAAGGATAGGAGGAAGACCAGTGTTGGAGTACTCCTTCTGTAGAAGGAGTGTTTTGTAGGAGGAAAAGTATTTCTGTCATTCTTTAAGTCTACTTAAGGTAGATTAAGGTAGACTCAGACTTTGTAGTTTTTAGTTACAACCAGCATGAACAAACCTCTTTTCTCTGAAGCTTCACTGGGAACATGGAACAATTCCAACTTTGGTAATAATACTGTGGAGTACTGATGACAACGCATGTAGTGCTGGGCATTTCCCACCAGGCACACAAGCAATAATAGCTTCTTTCAGTTCCTTTCTAGAGGAGAGGGCTCTATGGGTTATGTAATAATCAGGGACTTTCCATCTTGTTTAACAATCAAAAATTAAGCATACAAATCTTCATCAAATTGCCTAAAGTCTAACGTTCTTCCCTTTTTTTTTTTTTTTTTTTGAATTGATAACTTAAATATACCCCCGATCCCCAAAGCATACAAGGTACATGGAGAATAACTGACTTGCCTATTTGGGACTCACAATAGTCTGTGGAGTAGATTTAAACTTAATTTTCTGAATCCCAGCCTTGACTTCTAAGAAGGTAACTGGCCTTTTCTTAGGCATCTCAGTTGTAACATAACTGTGGATTTTCTCAATATGAACAAATATGACAATCCTTATTCTCTGCTTTTAAAAATCATACTAAAACAGTGTGTAGCACAGAGCACCAGTGTGCTATGCACTGCATAAAAAGTGTTTCCTTCATTAGCTTTCTAATTTGCTTGCCTTCTTTTTCCTTGTATATCTGCTTATTCTGTTATATGAAGATATAAAGGGACACATTTAGTCTCCTGACTTAAGGAGCTAGTCTGATATCAAAGGATATATAAAGTGCAAATGTCTCCTATCTTTGCAGGAATTTATAAAGAAAGAAACCTTTAGATCATCTTCTGCAGGCAGAAGAGAAATCCAATAGATGAGTATGTTAATTTAAAATTAAGTCAATCTCTTTCAGCAACGAGAGCAATAGTCAATCTGTTGCTAGATTGGAGACTGAACAACAAAATAAATCACCCAACAGGAGCTTGAGTTTTATTGAGAAAGTCCTGCCACATTCTATCCCATCAACAAGCACAGTTGTTTCAGAAAACTTAAACGCTTGTGCTTGTTAAGATCCTATCTTACACAAATTCATCACTTGTTCCATCTGCAACAAGCCAGGGGGTGCCAGATGAATCAGTGACCTGCATCACATGGATGGCACATTTTGTACAGGCTCTACTCTCTCTTCCAGGCATTTCCCACACCCCTAGAACCTTCCTGGCACAGCGTCACCCATGTAAGATGAAATATCAGAAGGCACATTTAGGTACTGATTAAGGTTTGTTCAGTTTTGCAAGTGAAAGACACGTTGAAGAGATGCAAACATTAACTTATCATTTTAATCCCTGGTGCTTCAGGTAATAGGGACTAAGAATTGAGATCTCACACGCATGCAGAAAGTGTAAGGGAATGGTCAAGAGTCAGGCGGGATCTTGCTGTGTTCCTCCAGATCTATGTTCATGCTGTAGTCAGAGGTGCAGTGTAAAGTCTCATATGTTTGAGTTAGCATTAGGTTAACCAGCATTAGTATGTATAGCAGACTAATGACATTAGCATGAAGATTGTGGAAGCTGCAAATGGCAGCCCATGAAAAAGTACAAGATGAGTTTGCTTTGAGCTTCATGGTGCCAGAATTACACAGCTACTGGGATGTGAGCTGGTTATTTAAAAGCTGGCTCAGGAATGATGGCTATTACTGTAGGGTTGCCAGACCTCAAGAGAAAAGTACAGTGGAAATAGATCATTTCTGAGCGGAAATTATACCTTCCAGTACAGTCTGACAATATAGCTATTCTGGGCAAAGAGGGCCCTGTTAAACCTCTCTTTACAGTACTCATCCTAGCTGTTGTCCTCACAGTGCTGGAACTTTTCCCTGTTTTCTCTATGTAATCTCTTGTGAGGAAATCAAGACTTTATGAAGGGAGATGAAGGTGTAAACGGGGAAGCCAGCAAACATTTTGGAGTCCTAAACATTTTATTCATTGTCAGCATGTGTAATAGTTCAAAAGCTTTACGGAGGCTAATTGTTTAGCAGTAGTTAAAAATCCTTCTGTCTGCCTCAGGAATCAGAAATAGCAATTCTAAGCGAGATGGGTGACCAGTCAGACAGCACGTACAGCTGTATGACAGCTACCTAGCTAGGATTCTATGCAACAGGAAGGCATCTATCTGATAATCCAAAAGTTATGCACTGGAAACTACTTGGGACATGCTTCAAGGACAAGAAATATACTAAAATAATCAGGATCTATTTGGAATTGATAGTCAAAAGTAGAGTCAATCTACACTATAGGATTCATAAAGCTGCAAGACTAGTTACACAGTTAATACAGTTCTATTCTCCATATGGGTGGATGTTTGTCTACATTCTAGTTCTGTCTTTCTAGGCCAAATCTGGACTAACCTTCTGCTCTGATTAGAAGAGTTTTACAGCTACTGCTTTTTAACACAGCTCTCTGTTTTTTTCCATGATGACTAAGATGGGTGTGGAACACAGTTTTTTTTGTACCTTTCTTTTTTTTGGGGGGGGGGTGTAGAGTGACATGATTTGAGGTCATGGTTGCCTCAAACTTTAGTATTTAATACATATTACTCCTGATTCACCTTCTGCATTCCTAACATGTCTAGGTGAGAAACCTCTATGCAGGATGGCCACATGACCCCTTGAAAAAACATAGATTTAGGAATAAGGTTGAGATTTTTCAAATATACTGATTTCACTAAGTGTCCTTTGGAGTTAAATGCAAACAGAGTGCATGATTGCTTGGCTGATCTTAAAAATTTTAGCTTAGATCCTCAAATACACCAGAGTAGCTATGTGATAAAGTCACTTTGAAGAAGAAAAAAAAAAAAAGGTAAATGCACCCATCATGCATTGTGCTGAGGCTGCCAAAAAACCTAAAAGAGTAAAAGCCACAGTATAATATTCTGGAAGAAGAAAATAAAAAAATCAGGATTTAGGGGAGCACCTGTACGTTCCAGGGTCTGACTCATGAATTTAACCTTTGACAACGTGAATGGTCTCAGCTGTGTATGCATGTGGCTGAGTATACAAACAACTTGGGCTGCTTATTACAGTGTTAGAAAATTTTTTTTCTCACATTTTGATGTGTAAGCTACTCTGACTCCCACACCATGTAGCTGCCAAAAATTAAAATGACATTAATGAAAAAGTCTTTTTCATACCCCTTTGTAAACCTGCCAAAATAGATAAATTGCCATATAAATCCTGTTACCGTTTTAATCAGAGAAGTTTTAGTCCTAGGCTTGGATTATTTCCTTTCTCGACTGCTTTTCTAGACGCTTTTGAAGAAGTTATGGTAGATGCAGAATACTGTCAAACTGTCTTTTGTACACAAATTCACCAGGACAGTAGATCATACGTTTAACCACAACAAGATGCCAGCCACATTATCACCTCAACCACTGTGTTTCAATGGTTTTCTTTTTCTTCCCTCCAGCTTTCTTTTGGGGAGGATTAGATTCTGTTTTGTGTCTTTCTTTTGTTAGCTACCTTAGAACATCTTTGAAGCAGCAGTTATATCGTATTATGTGCCAGTTTAGTTAACCTAGCGTAAGTGGCCAAAGAGGGCTTCACTACTAAAAATGTGGCTGCCTGAAGTAAGCACAGGATTTACAATGGTACGGGGATGTTTGGTACTACCATGGCTAATAGTAGGTGCCTTCATCTAGGAGCAGGCTCCCCAAGCCTCACATCACCTCCTGGAAACAGTTTGTGAAAGCAAAAGGCGTGAGATTTCCAAGGTGGAAATCAGGAATGCTAGATAGATGAAGACCTCCATGAATTGCCCCACACCGCCTTGACTGCAAAAAGGGGCCAGGGCTCGCTGAAGTTAGTTACAAGACTCGGGCTGGTGCTGGGAGCTGTGGCAGCACCATGAATGTTCCCGGCAGAGCCACGAGAGGGAGATAGAGAACACGAAATGAGCAGCGGGGGACTTGCAGCGCCTCACACACCCCGCACTGAGGACTTGCTTTCTTCAGCAACGCTACCTACCCACTGGGAGAAAGGGAGAAGGGGGTCTTTTCAGAGTGGTGCAAGGTCAAATACAGGCATACGCTTCTGGGAATGGGCTATGTGATTTGGAAGCGTAGCTTCACTCCTGTACTCATATAGATATATTTCTTTATTTTGAAAGATGTTCAAAAGTTGCCACCCCCAAACTTGCAATGAGCTTATCACTCTAAAAATCTTGAAATTCACAATGCCCTGCTTACCAGTTTAAAAAACTTCCTCAGGTTTGCTTTGGGGGTTTTAATTTCTTCTCTTCTAGGTTTCACTTCTGCAGCTTCTGGGCTTTTACTCTCATCTTTATCAGGAGCCACTGCTTCTAAAGACGTGTCTGCTTTTTCATTGCTTACAACCACCTCTGCTTCATCCGATGGGTTCTGGTGTTATTTTTGGCAAATATTAAGAGTGCAGAAAAAACATTCAGACTTAATCAGTGAGGTTTTGCTTTTTTTAAAAGAAGTTACAATCACAGTGTGTCAGAAATGCAGTGAGTTGGTACAAAAGGAATGAACATAGTGTGACAGCATTCTCTCAAGATTGCACTGTATCTATTCAGGTTCTTAAGGAACTCAATTCATCACAATTCAAGAAAATATGTAACAAGTATAAACCAGTAGTTTTGTAAACACTTGTTTAAATTAAAGAAATAGGCTTTCTTGGATTGTGGCACCAGTTCCCAAACACTATCATTTCTCTTTTGTTACAGTTTAAAGCAAAATTTAAATGAAATTATCATAACTTACACTGGTGTGAGCGAAGAGGAGATGACGCTTAGGTAAAACTAGTAAAATGAGAGAAAGATCATGCCTAGGAGTTTGCACATAAAAGCAGGGAAAAGTATTAAATAATTAAAAAGAAAAAGTACATACAACACTGTAGACATTATTAATTGTTAAAACTCTGTTTAGTACCTTTCTTAAAGAGTGAAATATGGAAGCAAAACATCACAGGCACAGTGTTCTCAGGCTGTCCCGTCAGCAGTGCTAGCTTCCTCTTCCAGTTGCAAAGATATAAATGACTTCTTGAGGCACAGGGTAGTTAAGTAGCTCATCTGTTAGCTCACCTAATCTCATGGGTCACAGAGACTCTTGGATAGTCCTGACCCCCATATGAGTTCAAGAAAACCTACTGAGAACTCAGCAACTTTGTCTTTATAGAAAGATTTTGTGTCCCACTGAGCTCCTGTGTATTACTGAAAAATTCCTTCTGTTAGAATAGTACTTTCCAGCCAGAGGCATGCAGCTTATAAACACCTCTGAAATATGGATCTTCATAAGATTTATTTATTAATCTCCTGCATACCTCCATTGCACAGCCTTCTTAAGTCTATCCTGGGAGTGCTCAAAGTATTTAAGTGAACAACAGAAACTGTGCAGTGCAGAATACATGAGCAGGGGGCACATATCTGCTCTGGTAGGCTTAGTGGCACAGCTAGGCAGGAAGCTGAACATACATTTTTTTCACTAACTCTTCTGTCTTTTATAAATGCCCTCGCAAATAACGCTTTCTTCCTTGCCTTCAGGAATCCCTAATTAATTCCCATCCTGCTGTAATTATATAGAGAAGCATCTTCCGTTCTTCTCTAAAGAACAAGCTATTGTCATGCTAATAACCAAGCAATTTGACCTGAAGCAAGCCCTTTTTCATTTTGTAGCCTAGCGCAGAAAGGTGCAGTACATTATAAAAGCAGGATAAATTACACTCTCAGCCTTCAATAGTGAATCAAATGGAAGCAGTTACCCTAGGTATTGGCATTTCAGAAACAGACTCCTTAAATATATAGCACAGTAACAACTTAAATATATACTATGGTTACTATAGAATTGAACTGTTGTAAATACATCTCACAATATTTATACTTCACAAGCTTTACATGTACTTATAGGAACTCACTTCTGATGCATTCATGATTTTACCAAAATTAATTTTACCCGCATGAAGAACAGGGGAACATTTTATAGCGTGAGACTAAAGATTCACTGTAGCCCCATATCCTGACACTGAGAGTGGCCAAAAACATTTGCCTCCAACAGTGCAAGCTTGCAGTAATACTGCCTTCATACACTTTTCCATTCATCTTCAACTCAGTGATTCCTATGTAGTATCTTTGGTTTAATAGCCCTTGATGGATTTTTCCTACAGAAATTTAGCTAAACACTTCCTGAGGTAATGTAAACTTCTGACATCCAGCAGCAGCCCATGGCAATGAATTCCGCAGCTAAAGTATGCATTATTTGAAAAGTACTTTCTGTTTGTCATCAGATAATTTCATTTGATACTCTCTACTGCTTGGATTTTGGGAAACAATGACGGATCTTTCCTGTTCACCTTTTTGTGCAACAGTAGTCACTCTGTATGCCTCCATCATCTTCCTTTCCAGCAACTCTTTTCTGGGCCAGCAACCCTTAATTTATATAGTTGTTGTTCATACAGCTGTTCAATGCTTCGATGTATTTTTTCTCTCATTGTTATACCTTTTTTTTTCTACTATATTCTTGCTGAGTTGGGGGGTCCAGGGCTGCACGCCACATGTAAGATAGGGCTCACCATGGACTTTTACAGCAGCATGAGAGATTCCATTTTGTTCTTTACTCCTTTTTTTTTGTGGATGAAATGAACAGGGATTTTGGGGGGAAAGAAAAATGATGAGAAAATAAATATTCCTTGCCCCCTGCTGCCCGAGATGACTGTGGCACAGCCCCCTACCCCATGGAGCTGTAAATTTAATTTATATTTATGAACATTTCTGAGATAATCAATCTATAATAATTGTAATCTATATTTCTGCCTCATTCACACATATATATATAATCAGTTCAGCATCTATTTGCTTGAAGGAAGTGATTCATTGCATGAGTTGGAACAGTGGCTCGATAAAGCAGCAGCCTAGCTTCTGGGAGCTCATCATTCAGACATTACAGTTTGGGATCATATTACTGCTACGCTGTTACAGCTGCAACCCAAATGAATTTTGTCTCTCCAACTATGTCTATGCAATGGTTTTAGTGTCACTAGTCATAACAAATGCATCCTGGGGAGAAATGCCAAATACTAAAGTGCATCTACTTAAAAAAGAAAAGAGCAAACTGATAGTTACCACTATTAAGTATCACTATGAGCAACTCACTTGTTTAGAATAGTCAGTGACCTTTTTTTACATATTTCTTGCTGGATTCCATAGAAAGCTTGACTCATATATCCGTAGAAAGTTAAAGTCATGTTTTCGAGTACTTAATTTTGCCAATTTTTTGAAATGTAAATATCCAGTGCACTCATTTTCATTTTGTGCTCTGCTAGACATATGGAAGTTGTTGCAGAAGCTGCAGGTTATCTTGTTTGAGGTCATAGACTTTGTATTAAGAATCACATTTTTTGGTAATTCTCTTACAATTACCCATAGGAATTATTGTTATATACACACATATCTCTCTAAGACTGAATTATCTGACTCTGCAGATTTTTTTCTGAGGTCACAAAATTCATAAAAGATGTTCTGGAGCTCTCATCCAGCCTCCTGCTCAAAGGAATTACATCAGGTTGCTCAGGAACTTGTCAAGTTGAACTTTGAATATCTCCAAATTTGGAGGTTCTACAACTTTCATGTAATCAAAACAGGATATTCAGACATGCTGGGACAAAATGAAACTCTAAGACACCACAAAATCCTCTGAAATAAGACTGACTGACGTGGCAGATTTGTGGAGACTAATGGCACATGGTGGTATATTGCATACTTCAGAGGTACAGAGAAAAGCTGTGTATATTCTTTCAAAAGTAGGGAAAACCCTTTCCAAATAAGTGTGTTTTCTGACATATTTTTAAAGAACAGAGGTTTCCATTTTTGTTCCTGCTCCACTTAGGAAACTAGAAGAAAGATTTCCTTTTATGTATTCCAGAGATACTGAAAGATGATTTTGGGAGGAATTGGAAGTTTAATAGGAAAAGTCTGACAAAGATAAATGCTCAATAAACTTTGAATGATGTTACAACTACCCTAAACTCTTCTGTGGAGAAACAGGATAAGTTTCCTCTGTACATCACCTGGGACAAAAACAGAGTTTGTATTAAGTTTCATGACTAGTTTTATGTGGAGGAAACTCCAATTTGTTTATAATAATAATTTACAAACAGGCAGCTCTATCAACTTCATGCTCAACATACATGTTCTCATGTCTGTAAGTTATATCCCTATACCTATAAATTGCATAGGTCCAAATTCTGTCTCCAGTTTACTTAGACACAAATTGTAATAAAATCTATGCAAGTCAGCAAGCTATTCCTATTATGCACCAAAGAGATAGAACTGCTGTTTCTTTAAACCTTTTTTTTTTTTTTTAAAGAGGAAAAATGCACTCTTTGCCAAGCTTGGAATTCTATTTTAAGAAACATTTGTTTGAAGAAGTAAGATGAGCTACATCCTCTGTTATTCCTATTACAGAACTACCATCATTTTTTCTCTTTTCAAAATAATTTTTTGTATATCTTCCCTAGTTTTGTTTTATAGGAGTATTTTCCTAGGCTCTTTATTTCACTTTGTTTGGAAAGTGTTCTTCCACCTCTTAAAGGATAGCATCCCTGATTTTCTTTCAGTAGTAAACTTATTTAAAACAGTTACAGTGCAAAGTTACTGCCCGCCCTTTGAGTCCTCATTCTGGTTCCTACAAGCCCTCCTGTTGTCTTCAGGAACTACTACTACCTCACTTGCTTGTCTTAAGTTTCTGACCATTCAAATCGTTGCCTTATGAGAATGTAACTTATTTTGTGACCTGGAGAACTTTGGCATGAGTATTCCTTTTGCTTTCTGCATCTTTCCTCAGAATTAAGGTAAACACTGTACCCCGCTTGGTCTTATGCTGCAGTCCGAGTTTGGCACTATCCACTGTTCATCTGACTCAATATACAGTTCTTTTGTTTTTTTCCAGGTCATAACTTCTTTATGAAGCAGCTTTTCTTTTATCTGAATAGATGAGAGACGACCTTTTGCTAAAAAAATTTACACTTAAAAGGACAGTCATGCTTGAGATCTGTTCCTGCATCTCATAAACTCACAGTAGGAAGCAGGGAGGGTTAGTTGGGGGAGGGTGGGCTTTAACCCACCTTCATGCTCTCCTGGTATGAGATGGTTGTCAGTGCAATCAAGATAGAGGTTGCTGCAGTTGCAGCAGATCACCTCCCTGCTTTACCCAGCAATGCTCCCAGGGACCTCCCCTGTGGTATGCAAAGCTGTCTGTTCTGAGCATCCCATCACCTGCAGCTGCTGACAAATGATGCCACTCAGCAGATCTTGAGCAATCACAATTCAGAGACTATTAACCAGTAGGTATTGATTACATTAAAAAGGCACTAATCTGTAAACTGAATTGGAACATGGTTCTGACTCACAGGTCCTATCAGCCTTAGTCACTGGGTTGAAGAAGCTAAGGCCCCCTCCCTGCTGCAAGAATGGCAGGTACACCAGCAATCAGGGTTGAAATCAGACAGTTTGTAAACTGGCCCTCAACAGCCCCCTGCTTACCATCTTCCTCACTCCCTGCACCAGGATGAATTCTCTTTGAAGTTTCTTCAGCCGTTTACCCAGCAAAAAATGGCCAGAATCCCTTCCCTCCTGCCTTTCAAGTGGTATATTCTAGCATGGAAGCCGGTGAACTACTTCAGGAACTAGATAAGTCCTGGGCAATTTTAACATTTATCTTGCATGCTCCACCCAAATATTTGTCTTTTCTTTCCTACGGCAGAGTATGGTTGCAGGCTCAGCAATAAAAGGTGTTATTCTGCTTCTTTTAGCAGCTAGCCAGATTGCTATGTGCATAAATTCTCCTTCCTCAGGAAAACGTGTGTAATTTTGCTGTTTGTATGGCAACAGAATTGCAACAGCTTAAAATTCTATTTTTTTCAAATATATCCACTTTTAAAAATCAGTCACAGGGGAGTGTAAATGATACTCCCTAAATCACTTTCCTCCATCATTTATTTGCATGCTTTGATCAGATATAGATGATGTGTCATGTTTCTCTGCTGTGATCACATACGTACAAGGTCTTTGAACCAGGTTTCCAATACAAATGCATTAAATTGCTAACTGTAATATTCTGTTACCATTCTTTATTACTTGCTACAAAATGCTAGTATGACAGATATTTGCGTAACACTTATGAAAGTTCTTGTGCAGACTGATCAGGAAATGGGACAAATACAGTTGAAGTGATTTTCATCTGAGGAGTTGAATAAGAATTCTTTTTTTTTTTCTTTTATATATTCATCTGTAGTCAAAGCAGCTGCATTAACTGCAATGTGTTGACAGGCACGTCATTAGCTGTACTTTGAAGTGAAACCTTGTCAGAAGATAGATATTTGAGAGGCTGCTTGAAAGGGGAGAAATTAGATCTGAATCCTGGATGTATTGAGGGTTATGGTTGCTATTTGTTTGTTCAAAAGAGAAACTAAACGTTAATGTGAATTATACACCTGTTTGGAACAGTTGCTATCTTTGACTCTCTAACCTAGCAAAAGAAGAGTACATTAAGGGTACCAGAATGTAAGATAAAATCATTACAGAAAAAGAAGGAAAGAAAGAACCCTCAACCCAACGTGAGTCTGAGTCTACCCTGTAGTCTAAGGACTTTTTTTTACATTTATTCTCATTTTTATAGCCTCAAGCTGACTGGGTCAACAAGGTCTCTGAAAGGAAATACAATATTCTTCTCTGTCAAGAAAATCCAGTAAAGTAACATCAATCTTTTATGGGCAAGAATTCCAGCACTTGAGCAGGTAGCTTCCTTGTTTTTAAATACTTAAAATTCAATTCTCTGCTGCAGAAATTTACTCCAGAAATCTCATAACATTTTGTCTCAGAACACTTCCAGATCCAAGAAGTTCAAACTAAGCAGAAATGGGCTCATATTACAAGTTTAAAGTCAGACTTCATGTGCTCATGTAGTTTAGTGTATTTGGGTACAATGATTTAACTAACCCTCAGTATTTTCAGTGGCAACCAAACTCTACACTGAGTTTCAGAGAGTTCTCTACAACACTTCCCATCCACTGAGGTAGAATAAATTAAACTTAGCGTTAGAACAAACAGCAGAGAAGTACAAGACAGAGTTTTGGTAAAAGGTTCATACCCTGAGATATTTAAGATCCTAGGACTTCAGTGAAGATTGTTGTAAGGTAAAAAGACATAGGGTAGTAAGCTAGACCTAGTTTAGCTGTAAAATGATATATGGGGAGACGGTATTCACTGCGGGCAGAATTTACATTTTACAGAGCAGTGAAATAGCTGTATGTTACATTTGTTTGGTTTAATCTTTCAAAATAACATTTTGAAATCTTACAAGAACCTTACCAGATTCATGACATTTTTTACCTCCCATTACTGCACAGGAGTGATTTTCACTATTTTTATGCAAGAAAATTTATTTTCCCTTCTTCCATGCTTTTTCTTTCTCACTTACTTCGTTATGAAAATATCGAAGCTCAGACCAGACTCATGACTCTCAGTTTTACACCAAGAATATGTATGCCTGTTTGCCAGAAGGACTTATTTTTTTTCTTCCGTATTTTGTCCTGATGCTCAGCATACATTCTGCTTCCCATCTCAGTTTTCAAATGAGCCAGATTATTCAGACACTGGAAAAGGTTTCCGGAGCAATGGTAACTATATGAAAAATCGCCCTCTACACCTTCTTTCCAGGTTTCCTGTCATTATAAATACCTGATTCAACCAGTTCCACAGGAAATTAAGTTCCAAGTAACAAGTATTTCAAGCGTAGATGTGAAACGAAGCCAACAAATTATGTTTGTTTACTTTATAAACATCTACACACTTCAGTTTTTTAGAGCATATAGCACACTCAAGCTGTATCTCTGTATCTCTCTACTCAGCAGACCAAATACAGCTAAAGAAGCTCAAAGGCTAGGCCTCAGTCAGCATCTGCTTATTTGGAAGCATTTCATTTCTGGGATTTGAACTTGAGCAGAAGCCCAGGAAAGCAGTGACTCAAAATACAGTGATTCAGTAAAGTTTAATACAGCTCTTCTTTTAAACAAAATGAGAAAAGAACAAGCCTTCAGCTTCTAAACCACAAAAAATTGTGGAAAGAGGAAGCATATTTTCAAAATTACTCCTCATTTAAAATAAATCATTGTTTAACCTGAAGAAAAAAATGTGTCTTCCCAAGCAATCAATCTCAATTCCCAAACTGGAAGGTTGATCTGCTCTTATTTGAAACATTTTTTTACTGAATAAAGATAGACACACCAAAATGCAGGTTTTCAGACATGTAGAACTAAATCAAGGAGTTCTGTATGTCTCATATATAGCTCCATAGGAGCCACTATATGGAGCTATATTTCTATTAAGGATATAATTTGGTAAAGAATAAAACAATCTCTGTGGGATTTTTAACAAATACATTGAACTGACCAGATATTAATACTCCTTCTTCCATAATATCATTTTAAAATACTACAGACAGCTTTAAAAAACTATGGTTGTATAGGACTTTTTCAGAGGAGTCAAACTGCCATTGTTAGCCACATATATATGTGGCTGCCCAAACCTCATGTACACATTAGTAACGGCATGTATCATTCATGCCTCTCAGGCATTTAACACTCTGGCTGTTCTTGGCTTTCCAGATTTGACTGCTTTCTTATGAGTGCATCCTCTAGCAGTAGGTGTAAGCTCCGTGTGAAAAGGGAACTGTGGAGCAGGTCAGCTCTGAAGTGCAGACATACCTTTTTCCGAAAGAGTTTGCTGAGAGGCGTGGGAGCAGATGATGCTTTCTCCTTGGTCAGCTCTTTGGGTGCTTCAGTAGCTGCTGCTGCTGCCTGTGGCTGCGCTGCAGGTTCAGGGGCTTTTGTGTTGTGCTTAGTTGTTTGAGGCTCTTGAGAGGATGGAGTGTTTTTTTCTGATTTTACAGAGGTCACAGGCTGCTGTTCAGTGCTCTAGAAACAAACACATAAGCAATTACAGCACTATCAGAAATATGTAAGTGACAAGAAAAATCAGGGCACATTCAGGCATCATCTGGAACAACAGGAAAGTTCACACTGGACTGCCACTGCATGAGACATGCAAAGCGATAAGGTGGATTTAACCACGTGCCTCTTACAAGTTGCATTGCCCCGTCCTTTCGGATGAAGTAACGTCTTGAAGAGAGGAATCAAATTGAATAGCAACCCATCCTTCACAATAGAGATGATTAATAGATAATGAAATTAAAACAGTCTTTCAGACTGAGAAGAACGCTCAGAGTGATTACACTTTGACTGCATTAGTCACGCAGATAACTCAAATCATCGTACTCACTTTGGTATTAGTAGTCTGTTGGGCCTCTTTCGCAGCCTGGAGGGAAACAAAACAAAGACAAGTCCATCTCCGACAATGCTAGCCCTCATAGTTGAGCAGTTCAGGAATTGTCTGCATCACAGATTATTTTATTTTTAGGGGACATTTGTGGAAGTCCTGGCTCCTGCAACCATGGAAACTGATCTTTTAACAGAAGCGAGGCTGCCTTTTACCTGACCTAAAGGGACTGTCAGCTTGCGTCCTTCTACCTGTGTAGATACTTGGAGCCTTGTGCTGAATTGCTTTGTACTCACTCTGGTATGCTTACAGTTATCAACCTATTCTTTGATAACATACACACTGTATATTCATATATAGAAACATATGTACTACATAGGCATTTCCAATTTCCACAAGTAAAGACATTACACAGGGTTTTAAGACAGTGGCAGAAATTTCTCTGAGCTGGATCTGCACGTGCAGCATTTAGTACGTGCATACAAGTCTGAGCCAGTTCTTTTCCACTGAGAGAATTGTATTCCAGTCAGGGACACGCTAAAGTGCACCTTCAAATTAGGAAACTGCTTTTTGGGATACAAAACATGGGCAGATGCATGCTACAGGGCAGGTTAACAAATACAGCTACTGTTTGCTAACCTCTTTAAAGAGGCCCTTTCATTTTTAAAGATCTGATGCAAGCAGTTGTTCAGGATGGATTTCTGGCTATATTGGGCTCTGTTACAGCATGCTGTTTTTTGGCTGGTTTCTGCATTAAGCTGTAGTTAATATTTTGCATGTTGTAAACAAGTATATAATAAAATAAAAATATCCATGCACGTTTATCAGCTGAGCTTCATAATGCCTTGTATATACTCGAATTGTAAGAAAGCTAAGTGCAAACAAGAAGGTTATCCGTTACTTTGAGTTGGCAATACAACCGGGGGCGGGGGGGCGGGAAGGCAACGGCCTGGTTGCATGCTGTCACCCAGCAGCCCCATGTTGTGTGGAGATAGTCGAGGAGACACAAGATTGCATAGATCTAGTGGTTGGGAGTGAAGGGCACAGAACAGCAATGGTTTTGTAATGCAGAGGCAGGATGTGGAGCCCTACAAAGAGCAGCTCTAAGGGTACTTGAGGATTTATTCCATTCCTCAGACTCTTTAATTTACACTTTTGTGAGTGGATGGGATTTATTTGTTTTAATTTCTTCAAGGCTCTTCTAGTTTTGTCAAAAATAGGAAGCCAGGAGAAATACAGTTTGCTGAACTCATTTCTAGCTAGTGATACAGACCTATTGACTGTAACATACAGCCAAGCTTATACTGAAGGTATCCAAGTTGTACAGAAAGAGGAGCAGCAAGCCACAAACCAAAGCAGACGCAATCTGAGCACCCCTGATTTTAGGCAGCCTGCCACATTCCTTGGAGACTTCTTGAAAGAATAGGTGAGAGTTATTTTGCAGGAGCCAAGAACTTCTTTTTGTAGTTAGCTCTACCAAACAAGATCCAGAACAAATGGTAAAAAGCAGTCTAATGCCACAAGCTGGCTTCAGTAGTCATGCTGAAAATAACTGATTAACCCTTTTCTTCCCAGTCAAAATTCCTTACGTCAGTACAGTTATACTGCAAAACCAGCCTGCAGCATAAGACAACATACACAGATGGAAGTAATAGAACACACAGGGACCCAGTGGTCAATTCCCATCCAAACTCATTCTTTGAGGTTGAATGGCCATCCACAGGCTTTTGGTATAGATTTATATTAGTATCTATGTTGCTATTTGAAAACAATATTTAAGTCTAGTATGGGTGCTTTAAAGTTAGTATTTGTGTAAACACAGGACACAAAAACAATGTTCCTGTTGTTTTTCTTTAAGCTAACAGTCTGTTTTTTTAAACATACTGAGAAGCAAGAAAGTGAAGTGCTTAAAATTAAATATGACTACATAGATTTAATTAAAATAATTTCAAATAAAGTGATTTATTATGTATTCGTCTAGTTGGCACATCATGATAAGGCATTTCAAATGAAGGAAGACAGACAGAACTGCCTCCTTTTTTTTCATAGTAGAAGTGATAACTTTCAGGGCTTGCCTGTCACATCAGCGCTCCGATTTGCATTTCCACTTTTAATCAGCCATACAGGCAAACTGTTAACTGCATTTTAATCTATCTCCTTTACTATTATATATCACACATGAGACCCTGTCTGTTGCTTCTGCAGTTTGTATCTGGAAAGAGAAAGCTATGTAAGTAAGTAGCTCAGAAACTACAAGAAAAACCTCTACTTAAAAACAGTGAGAGTTTTGTATGACAAGGTATCTGGTTATAAAGTACAGAGCTGTTGCTTTCCTCCAAGATAATTACTTTCATTCCACACCCAAAGGAAAGCATTTAAAATTCTATCAATTAGCCTAAAAAAACCTATTACCTCTTCCAACAGCTCATCTCAAATTTTCAAACTGTTTTTTAGAAGGGGCTTAGCATCTTAAAAAGATGTTAGCTGGCCGTGTTTATACCTAGGAGGAAGCCTTAATTGATGACAAACAAGTAATTTATATTTTAAATGTATTAAATATCAAAATTAGTTAGGGATGCGATAGATATAAAGTGATATCTTAACTATTTTGAAGCTACTGGGAAGAATTGTAGTCATAAGTACATTGGGAAGATTATTCCTTCAGTGATATGCATATGACATCTTTATCTCAAATAGGGGAAGACAGTGGAAAGAACCTTTGTTTTGAAAATATCTTAACAAATTCTGTCTTACTAGTGTAACTTCTGGTTATAAAGACCCCTACTCACCAAAAATTCAGTGTGGGTGTTTTGAGTGAGCAATAAATATTAATTACTTTCCTCCCCCAATGAAAGGGGCTCTGCTTCTACATTCTTCAGGCTAAAAAGCTGCTCTTTGCTTCCCTGCCATAGAACATCATTACCTATATTATTGAACATCATTACATATATTATCCTCTTCAGAATAAGTATTGATGCTCATGTAAGACCTTGAGTCCAAAACTGATGAAAGAAGTTTTCAATGACTTTTTTGGTAAGTTAATATTTTCTCTAAAACAATCAAATACTTGCATGAAAAATGTGCTTTTATCAACTTTTAAAGTATCTTTGAAAGAGAGAAAACCATTTACCTTCTAAACTAAATTCAGAATTGAATCATTGATTATTACTTTACTGTATTTTCAGTGAAAAGTCAGTATTTCTGATGGAAATTTCCTATTTCCAACCTTCTCTTCCCTATCAGTTCAGTGTCTGAGTTCAGCAAAGCACTAGTTTTAACCACATGACTCGGCATGTTAAGTCAATGTGGATCTTACAGCCTTAACCCTAGCTGGATTGAGGCCTCAGACTTGTCTTACAATTGAAGATGTACATATCTGCGTAATTCATTATTTGTCAGTACATGCTTTTTTTCTTTTAAAGTGTCCAGTAAAGTTTAGTTAGAGTTAGTAAGAGTAACATAGAAGGCATGTAACACAAGCATAGAGGAATTTTTCAGAATCCTGGATTCACAGATGGTATACATGAGAAAGACTTCCCATTTTCAGAAATACTGTTTTCATAATGCGTAGTACAGAAATGCTCATGCCATTAGTTTTCAAAGTACTGAACAGTTGGCCAGATTCTGATTTCAGTTACCAATTAAATATACTTCATTCTGTGACAGGAGCCATCTGTTACTGCTCAGGATTCTGCTCTTGCTAGAATTTCATACAGACCTTATGCCTAAAGAGTTTGCTAAATGTACTGTGTCCTAACTTGGGACTCTCTGACTTCTTTTTCTTGGCTCCTTTCGTTTGGGATTCAGCAGCTGTCTTCGGAGCAGGTTGCCCACCATGGCCTTTTTCCACTTTCGATCCCTTTTGTACAACATCATTCACAGTTGAGTAATTGTTGCCAATTTCACGTCCTTTTCTTCATGAAAAGCATTCAAATACTCATGCATGTTGTATTAAAACCAAGCATTTCCTTTTTGTCCTGGACAAGAAATTTATATTTTCTGTTCCACAGTAATTACTAAGTTCTTAGACTTTCTTTGGGTTGAGTAGCAAAAGAAATTTGAAAATATGCATTTGACAAATCCTTTGTGTTATGCTCTGGCAATGCAGTTAATCCAATATCAGATCAGAATTTGCCCCCTGATTCTTCATTAATTTGAGACCCCAATCCTGCAAAGCCTGAGGCTTGTCTATTATTCTAAGTTCTTGAGTAACCAATTCAATTTGGGATTATTTATGGGTTTAAATTAGGCATATATATAAATATTTGAAAATATCTTTATTCTTATTTGTATTGTGGTATTACAGGGACTTTAAAATGTGTTTTCTATAATTTTTTATTTATGAAAGGGCAGTATGGATATTAATGATACATTTATTATTTATGCATACTTGTATACACATTACAAAAAATTACAGATTTGCACTGGTGTTCATGAAACAAGTTAGAAATAAAACTATCAGAAACAGTGACGATAGGCTGATACTAACACTCAAATTAAAAAGCACTGTTTCCTGTTCTCTCCATTATAAATGTCTGCAAAAGGCATTTGTTTTTAAAATCATCTCCCACTGCAATTAGAAACAGGATCTCTAAAAACTTAGCTATCACACTGAAAAATCCATTACAAGGAATATAAATTAAAGAGCAACACAATGATTTTGATGTCTGTACAGAAAAAGGAAATATATCGGCTATTTTAAATGGTGGTAGCAGGCTACATGCAGCTCAGTGCAGATTAAGTTACCCTAGTGAGAGTAAAAATAGGTCGGTTCAGTAGGTAGCATTTGAGTGGAAATGGAAAACTTAAGTAACATTTGCTAGAATATTCCATTTATCTTTTTATTGCATGATGAAAATTACTTATTTCTTAAAACTGAAATACTTCCTCAAAATTTCACTGTTCAAAGTTTTTTTTTTTCCCAAATACTCAGCCCTCAAGATTTATCAATGCTCTAAAAAATGTTTAGATTTTCCTATTGTGAATATTTTTCTTCTTCCTTCTTGACCATTTTTACCATTTTCTATAAATAACTGGTAGAAGAAAGAGGTGGAGGAGAACAACACAAACTCAAATATCCAAGATTGCCTAATTGGGCTTCAACATACAGACAAGTGAACACAATTCTCTTCTCTGGTACCTGTCCTGTATGTATCCTCATAATATGAGGAATCACAGATGAGGCATGTTCTTCACTCTTCGGAGTTTCACAGTGTCTAGCTTTACAGCAGCAGGAAGCCATTGTAATTACCCAGTCCAAAGAAGGAAATGATGTTTTTGCTACTTGCTAGTATCTTGAACTTCATTCTAATCTCCCTTAACTTTATCTTAGGCAATTTAGTCCTGATTTAATTAAGAACCAGACCCAATTCAGGGAAGAAATAGTTTAAGTTATATTTCAATGAAAAATAACTTCATGCAAGTCTCCACCTTCCTGCTAATTAACTTGTACATTTGCAGACTTTATTCTGATGTCTTTTGCACTTGGACAAGACAAAAGCTTCCAGCTAGCAAAAAAGCTTTAAACAGAGTTGACAAATTTCCAGGACCTACAAAAACACCAAACTCCAGAGTTTACATCATCTTCAGTGCAAAGTATCAAGCCATGTGGTCGACCAAAATGTTTTCTATAAAATGCTTTGAGTTATGTAGTTGGACCAAATGAAACAACCTTGAAAGCAAGATCTTCCCCAAACATGCCCAGAACTGTTCCACTCTGTACTTTGGACCTTTTGCCCTACAAGGAGGCTGGGGCCAGTCAAGTGTAAATTAGCCATTTCTGTCTTTAGTGCTCTGTAGTGCAGCAATCCCAATGTTTCCATACAACAATGAAGTCAGGAACTACTACAGGAGGGTCAAGTTGGTGGTACAGAGCAGATCTGATCCAAATGAATATGCAGTGTCAGTTTGTAAAAAATATGTAAAGGATCAACTAATCCCAGGAAGTTTCACTCAGCTATTTATTATGTAGGCTAAACTCTTCTGTTTACACAGATGAAATGACAATAATATTAAGAAGGGTGCACCCATATTACTGAAAGCACAGCTCGCTTTAGCCAACTGATTAAAAACAGATGTAGCTTATGACAGTATTGCTTCAAAAGACACTAAGCTCAGCCTAATGCTGAGTTTTCACTGAAACTGTACACCTCTATTTCTGCAGGAGGGAATAGGCCTTGGTGCTTCGTTATAGGAAGCCCTGAGATACACCGAGCTTCTTCCTGAGAAAGATGAGAAAATTTGTCTGTTCTTTTAGCCCCTGGTAGAGTACTGCTGAGAGACACTGAACACATGTCGACCCTTGTGTGATCAAACCCAGCTCCTCCCTACTAAGGCAGCCAAAATGCAAGCGTGACTGGAACTCAAGTACACAGCAGTCCCCAGGTCAGCCAAACCATTCAAGTTTTATGGAACTCAGGAGCTGCTCAGACCGTGTGAGGAGGAAAGTCTAGCTTAATGCCATAGTAAAGGCACATTCTTAAGGAGGAATGTATCTCTCGGTGAAAAAGTGACCGTTTTCATAATACATAAGAGCTGTAAAATAGTCAAATGTCATACAGAAAAATTTCAAAGTTAGCCTTTTTAATATATTTTTCCTGAATGCAATGAAAATGCATTTTTTTGATTAGGAATACTAGCAAAGATAAAGGTATTCTTCGTAAAAACAACGCCCATTAGCCTCTGGTGTCCTGCTGAAGTCATCTGAAAATGTTTACCTTCACAGGTGTGATAGCAAACCAAACCCAGACAGCATATTTGTTTCTAAGTTAGTGTGCCTGCACCAGCAGTCATCTGTTATCAAACACACCCACGTGCTTCTATAACGTTAGGTATGCAAACTGTACTAACAGCTGGATTGTTCAAAAGCTGTTGAAAGAGCTACAAATCTCCCTGAGACATTGAGATTTGATGACTACCTTTTCTGGCTATCTTGGAAAACCTCAGCTCTGACTTCCCTTTTCCAGAACTGAGCTAGATCAGGGAATGATGCGTATCCCCATATATTTATCAAGGTTTATGGAAAAGTTGACTTGACCATTTTAGTACCAGGCTGTGTAAGAATTGAATGGAAAAAAAAAATTGGGATAGAAAACAAATGTTGAGGCCAATAGTGATTTCTGTTAGCTAATGAATGCATGGAAAGACTATGCCCCCTTTTTTAGGGTTTTATCCTTTATATGTTGATTAGATTTTATCATAAGCATTACAAGAAAAATATTTCAGTAATTATAGCCATAAGAATGCATTTAATCTGGAAGCTCCCAATTATTCAGTCAATGATAGTGCTTGTAGGCCACTAAAGCATCAGAAGAGAGACAGCTTAATACACATTTGTCTGGCACATTTCTTTTCCCATTGAAACTATTTTAAGTTTTAGCTCTAACTTAACAATGGGAAAAGAGTGAGAAAAAGTAGTCTTTAAATATATACTTATAATGGAAAAGTGTAGATATTCTCCTAAATTCACACAAAGAACAGTCACTGCTTAGAGATGCTAAAATGAAGTTTCCTGCTGCCGGTGGAATCCGAAAATGAACGTTACTTTAAAAGGGATGCAACAGGCCCTGTCTTCCAGTTACATTAAGGAGCGTTTCTCAAACTGAGGTCTTGTCTCTTATAGCCAGTGTGGATTTCAGCTCTTAAAGGGAACGCCACTATAAATGCATTTGCAGTCAGCTCGATGCATCGCATTAGAACAGTTTGCGTGTTCAATTTATCCCACTTTAAAATCTGAGCTTGCAAAACTGAAGTGATCCACATCCCTGCAGGTAAAGGGAAGAATCTTAAACCCTCAAGGGAAGGACAGACTTCACCCTGTAAATCCTGACTGGGCCCAGAGCAGCTCTGAGGTTTCGGCTACTAAATGGGAGCAGCACGTCAGTTCCAACCATAGCACAGTCCTTAATGGGGTGCTTAGACCAGAAGAAGGCCAGAGGGGAAACGTTGGGGTCTTCTCCACTTCCTACAACTTTTTATTAATTTCAGAAGGAGGTTAACTCTCCCACAGCTACCTCCCCCAAAGGGGGACCTCAGTGCCTCTGCCTGCTGCCCACCTAACCGCAGAGCTGCCACCGCTGGGTTGCGGGGAAGCCTCCCCATCCAGCCCTGACAATCATAGCAAGTATGAGGAGAAAATGGAGAATTGTATATGAATAACTGGAAGTTAACAAACAGCTCTTTTGCATAGCTCTATGAGCAAATGGAGTTTTCTGTGGACTTCAAGAGGATTGCACTGCCAGGACCCCCACTCGATGACATCAAGGACAAGTCAGAGTAACAAAAGCATGTTTCCAGTTCATCATCCACCTTACAGAAAGTGCTACAATTCTGATCTTCGACTGTGACGTCTGGTACAAAGAATTACACTTCATTTATTGTTATCTTCCTTTCAAATATATTCAGAGAAAAATATTTTAAGTTATTACTGTAAACAGTAACATCAATTGAGGGTTTAAAAAAAAAAAAAAAGGCAATACAATAAAGAGGAAAAGCCTGTGTTAGAAACACTTAATGACCAGTGATAGAGAACAAGGAATCTGCCTACCTTGTCTTCAGAATCACTTTTAGCTTCAGCTTTGCCTGGGGACACCTTAAATATATTTGAGAGAACAGTCACACTCAACTCAATCTTTCAGAAGAAAGTTTGAAAGTTCACCTATTAGTTTGAAACTAGCAGTGTTTTTTTTTATCACCAAAGTAAAAACTACAAACATCACTTTATTTTCTAGGTGGGAAAATTTGTAATACAAATGTGTCTTGAGAGTAACTTCAGGGCAGTGACTAAGAAAACTATCCCAACCAAAAATAGATTTCTCCAGCTCATACATCCTATCACTCCATGAAAATGAACAACAGATTTTCAAAATAAGTTTCAGCATGCAGCGGTTACGCATACTGAGACCTGCTAAAGACATATGACAGCTAAATACCTCCAGTTCTGGAAGCAGAAAACTTCCCCTGCTATTATATGAGTAAAACATCATTTGATCACAACTGTGCTGTATCTACATATCTGTCAGTCTCAGATCATTCTAAGTCATCTATTTGGCTTCATAACATTACTCCCTGATGCCTGTGACTGAGCATGTTGCATTTAGCTAAGAATATCCACATGGGATTTTTGTGAGCAGCTTTAATTTAAAACATAGCTTAGAAATGAAAACTAAAGGCATGTAGACTTACCAGCGTTTTAAGGAAACTCATGACAGAATTATTGTTGTCCACTGCAGCAGCTCCTTGAGGGTTCTCTTGTTTTACCTCTGCCTTTTCAGGTTGCTCAGTAGTGGCACAGTTGACACCTGCTGCGTCCTGCTGCTTGTCTTTTTGGTTGCAGTCATCTATCTCCTAAAAAAGGGGGCAGAGTTTCTTCAGTCCTGGCTTGCTTAGTTTCTAGTGGAATGTAAAAGTAACATTTGTGACTTGCTTTATGTTGCTCTGAAAGTCACAACCCTAATTCCAACCATACTTCTCCAGCCTACATGTTTAGAACAATTGAGCATTTATACATCTTTCCCCTCTTTTCTAATATATTCAATATTTGCCATTGGTTGGAGGAATATTTTTCTGAGCTACCAAGTATAAAAAACAAGTAAAGTTGCACACTGCATCCCAAACAACACCATTTTCTTATGGGCAAGACTGAGAACTTGTGAATAGGAACAAACACTGAAATTTTGGCCTCTCGTGGCTCAGTATCTGAAAGTACCATACAAAGACTGCTTCAGATACTCTGTATTCTGCAATTCCAGAAATAATTTTTATCTAGTAAACAAACATGACAAAGAAAAGCAACAACCCAAAACATGAATAATTCTTCTAAGCCAGATACCACTGTCTCTTTTCTTTCTGGAATCAGATTTATCAGAGCCCAGAAGAGTTTTCCAGTGCTCAAGCAGATAATATTCTTAAAGTTACTTTCTATATAGATATCTGAGAAGTACCCTGATTTTTAAAAGACATTTTAAACCAATTGTTCATACAAGTTTAGAGAGCTTGGCCCCACCTTCTACTCGGCTTGTCTGCTACTCTGGCCACTTTTGACTTGAGCCTGCACAGGTAAAGCCAGTGCAAACCTTGTGCAAGAGAACACTTTGAAACATCTTCAAATCCCACTCAGCATTTCCCTTTTTAACATTTAAAGAACACTAAATATTGCTATCAATACTTCCAAGTCTGTTATCAATAGTACTCTTTCTCCTCCCTTTTGTTTACCCATTGATATTGTAAACTCATGAGGGCTGGATCTGTCAATTATTACTAGAGAAGCAAATCGTGCAAACACAACAGTAGAATTGATTTTGGTAGGGAATTTGAGACTTTATTGAATGAGCAATCATTTGTAACAGTACAATATTTCTTCAGCAAATGAACAGCCCCAACTATCTAGAGAGCAATACACCTACTTGGTCACTTAAAAAATGACGACCATAGAAGCAGTTAGCAGTTGTTAGGAAACTAGATGCCCAGATTACTTGAAAGGAAAAAGAAAGGACCAGGAAAACAAGTGAGCTTGAGCTCGTCCACTTGTCTTCAGTACATATCATCTTTGAAACTCTCTCTCAAAAGACTGCCTAGAGTTCTAAATGACAAAGATGATTCATTTTTTTTAAAGTACTAGTTAGACTTGCTTGTTCAGTGCCATTTTTATTAGGAGATTTTTTTTTTTTTTTTTTTTTAAAGTTGTGCCCTTGAGAACCTGTCCTTTTACTAAGGGATTTAAAACCAGTATTTGTATAGGATTTACAAAGGACAGACTGCTGTAGGTAACTCTGGGAGATTAAACACAGAAATCACATGCAGTTAAAACTTCAGAGGGCTAATTTGGCACCAGGAAACACGAGCATAGAGGGGCCTGTCTCCATGCAGCATTCAACGAGTTAAAAACACACGATTTTACTTACAAGAACAGAATTCTGTCTAACTCTACACCCACCATTTTCCAAATTCGCCCAGGAAGAAAGCAGCACAGTAGTTCAAAATGCCTCAACAAGCTATTTAGGAGTTTCTTGTAAGGGCCTGACACACCACTTTGTACAGCTGCCAGTTGCAGGCCAGAGTCACTCCAGGAACAGTATGTTCTATGCAGAACATGGACAGCCCATGTTCTGGGCTTCAGCAGCCCTTCTCCCCAGGATGCCACCTCAACAGCTCTGGTCATATGAAAAATGCTGGCTTTATTTAAGATATTAAAAGGGCAAAAAAACATGGAGCAGCAGAGCAGAGAAGCAGGAGGCAGAATATATATTGCTAAACAATATTAACTTCAGTCAAAGTCCTGATTCTATAAAACTCAGCAGCAATGGGTCAAACAGCCTGAGTTTTTCCTTTTAAATACACACACACACACACACAGGGCAGTTGCAGAGGCAACAGTTCTTGCCATTTGCAGCATTAGCTGTTCCAACACACCTCTCTCCTAAAGCCAGACTTTGCCTAGCAGATGTGAACGATAGAGCCAAGGGTGCAGAGCTCAAGGTATCACACCGCCCTGAAACCCCTCAACACATCAGCCCCATAATCACCCACTGCCCAAGAGACTCCTACACCACAATTCTCAAGCCAAGACTCCTATTGGCTATGGAGATGTATCAAACAAATCTGGACTTTGGTAGACAGTGATCCATCTCATGCTTTCATGGGTGTACTGCTGTAGAAAGGAATACAGACTCAGGCTCTCAGTATATAAATGAGGGAGAGAGGAGAGATAACATGGAGTCTTACATTACCACAATTTCAGAGCAGTAGTCGACCACAAAAACCTCTACAGCAGCTGACTCCATAATATGCTGTGCAAAGCCCTAGAGACAAATAATAATGAAAGAAAACTCCAGAAATAAGAGAAGAAAGTCAGCATTAGAAGCTATCAGATCCTGTGTAAATATTCAATTCATTTCTCTGAGGAGCCAAATTTGGGGGTAGAAAACACCTTAAATAATTATACTGTAATTTTAATTCAGTCATTAGAAAAAATATATCAAAAGAATGTATTCCTGCCAGCACTTTTGTTTGTGTGAATTATAGCTCAGTGAAACATTTCAGGCATATAATTTATCTTTTCTTTGGCTTAAATAGTAAATGCTTCATGAATTCATGAATTCTGTCCTTGTTTTAATTATACTGTGTTCTGAATGTAGTTTTGTGGACCACAAAAAATAAAGACTGGTTCACCAAACACAGAATGTTTGTGCAGCTCCGAAGCTATGACTGCAGAGTCTCTCTTTTACCAGCAAGAGTTTGTTGTGTGTTAGCACTCAATTCAGGGAAACTTTGCTTTAGCTCTTACAAATACTACAAGCCATAATCCACCAAAAAAAAAAAGCTGTGCTGGCAGCGATATCTGGATTTTTAGAACAATTGTTTGGTAACAGTTTGTAGTTACTACAGTAACAGCAATTAAGTTAGATGCTGTTTGGTAAATTACACGGACATACCATAAAATTCTGAGACTGCTATCCATTTATAGGGAACAGCGGGCAACTGTGCTGGAAGGCAGAGCCAAAGCCTTTGTTTTTAAAAGGGAGTTAAAGCAAGTTTGGCAGCATATCAAAAGTGTTTAGTCAATATTCTTGCCAGGAAAGGTCTTAACAGCCCTCCTTCCCTCCAACACACACACTTCTGTGTATTTGAGGGATAAAAGGCAAAAGATGTGGTCAGAAAATTCAAGATAAGGTTAAAATTTCATGCTCCCTTATGGCCCAGTTCTGCCATTGCCATTTACAGTGACTAACCCAGACCCTGATTTTGTGGGCTGTCAAACATTTTCAGTGGTGCATCTTTAAGCACAGGTGTAAAGGATGTACAGGCACATTCGTTAAACAGGAGACCTGCCCACAAGCAGGCCCCCGGGCATAAAGACTGTTGTGCAGGCTAGGATCCTGCAAATACTTACAAACATACCAAACAAAACCTAAATCTGATGAGTGCCTAGGATTTCTGGATTATTCCCGTTAGTAAAGTTTAACATATGGAAACATATAAGATGAAGATGGGAACAGAAATAAAAAATGAATAGGAAAACGAGACGTCACTGCCATAAGAAGCTAGATCTGCATGAACAAAAACGTTTTCAATATTTGTTTGAGCTAGGAGGAAAAAAAAGACTTGATTTTCTTGGTTTTTTCTCCTCTCAGGCCTTGGTACAGTTGCTTACTTGAGCTTTCCCAATACGACTATTTGCTACCAGCAAACACTTAACTCTAATTCCTGGTTAAAGCTACTTGCAATTGCTCATTTCATTATAGCATGCGCATTTCACATTGTACTACTTCCACAGCATCAACTGAACTTTCACATTCTGTAGTTTGCAATCACAACAAAATAAGAAATAAACTAAATTTTGCATTCAGTTGTAAAAGTAGCAGTTCTTGTGAGCCACAGGCAAAACTTATCCTTCATGTATATTTGTAAGTTCCTGCAAATATTGTGATTATGTTGGAAAACTTCAGTCTGAATAGCCACAAACAGAGGAAATGGCACTATGCACTATTTATTATGGATTATTCATGCAGCTCTGTTTATGTAGCAAATGACTTGAGATCCTAGTAGGCCAAAACTACAGATTCTTTTAGTGCATGTATACAGCTGTCCAAGATGCTAGTGACGGGTGCTGCTTTTGAAAGGCAGTAGTCAAAAATGAAAGTGTTTGTACTCTACAACTAAACTTTAGAGAATTGTAATCGATGAGTGTTGAAATCTTCAGATTTGAGCAGAAGGTACAGAATACCAGTTAGAGGAATAGAAACCAAAGAGACCTTTGGAAGAAACCTGCAGCGATACCAGTACAGGCAGTGAGCATTTTCCGAGCTACGTTCAACACTGTTTAAAGAGTTAGTGATCATACTACAGTGTTGCTGGAAAAGCTGGACTGGATTCCTACAAAACAATAATTATGCTTAATAATGCACTTTCAGATAGATTTTGCTTAGTGGTCATGCAGCTAGTTTACGCCTCCTGTTCCCTAAATTAGACAGGATTTGAACTATATCATCAAGTAGTATAAACTGGCTCTTCTGCAGTGAAGCTAATGACAGTTATGCCACTTTACCCAGGGGACTGACTTTTTCAGCAGTCTAGTTATTTTAATATTAATCATATACTGTATTTGTTGATATCAAACTTCACAGGAGATATAAAATCTCATCCTGCTGTCCTTGGAAAAAAAGGCTGTAAGTACTCTTCTAGGCTAAAGTGGAACTTGGCTGTAGGCAACGAATTACACCAGCGAAGAATCCGACACTTAACTGTGATGCTGCGCTCATGTGTTCTAGTAACTTAGGACTAGCGTAGACTTCTATTTCATTTCCTTCTGACAATTTTATCACACTGATGATCCTGAATAAATAACACAAGTAAAATCTGACTTCTCTATTGCTGTCTCCCATTCTGCCTTAGATAAAATGATCATTATATTTGAGTCAAAATGGCTACAGTGAAAAGTAGCGACACAGTTCCATGATGCTTGATGAAGCACACTGAACTCAAATCCTTTTTCAGCTCCTTTCTTTGATTAATGTGCTCTCTCAGATAAGTTGCCTAATTTCTTACTTTGCATTCTCCTCCTGTAAAATTAATTCTAAGAACTGTATTTCTTTGACTAAAAAAAAAAACCACAAAAGCTTAAGACCATCAAAAATTGTTGCGTATATTATTCTTAATTCTAGTATGTAAGCTATGCAACAAGCAGCTATTGCTCAAGAGAAGTATTTTTATTAGCATGACAAAAACATGCCAAAGAATTTTAGACCATCCAAAGTCAAACTCTAGACTCCTAAAGCTTAGGAAACCATTTTACTTTCAGGTATTTTTGTTTTCATTTATAGTCAGCTGCTGTTCATCATCCAACATTTAGTCATGAAGCAGACAGCTGTTATTCCTTTGCTATAGATGCTTTTCCCATACCCCTATTCAGCCACCCTTCAGGGGGTTACTTCCTGTGCGTTTAAGAGTAACACTGATTCATCCACACAGCCATCATGACATGAATTTGTCCTACACTTTTAATATTCCTAAGAGACTTAATTAAGCATGAAATGGATATTCCTATTCAAACACTTGCCTTCCCCTGTGGGACACTGCTTGATGTGCTCTGTAATCCGACAGCCTCTTTTGCTGGGATGCTTCCGTCAGGAGTGTCTGAAGTCTGCCTTTCCTCTTGGGGATCAATTTGCGTTTTACTCCTTTCCTTTTTCTTCTCCAGTTTGAAGATTCTATCAAAAAAGGTTACTTGTTTTGGCTCCGACACAGCTGCATCATCTCCCTCAGGTGTCCCCGGTGCTGTGAGTTCGACTTCACTAAGTGATGCTGCAGGAGGGGCCTGGGTCAGGTTTTTATGTGAGCATTGCTCCAGTGCAGCTGCTGCAGGAAACTCCACGCTTTGACTTAGTGCTTTGTTCACTTCGGGCATCTCTGAGCTGACATCAAGTTTAGCTGATCCAGCTGATGAATCTGTAGCTTGATCTTCAGTACGCCCTGGTACAGGCCATGAAAATGCAAAGACAGAACGAGATTTAGCAGATGGCATGGGTTTCTTGGCGTCGTTCCCCAGATTCTTTCCGCCTGCATCAGAAACGGAGCTTATCTCCATTGTCTTCGGGGAAGAAACAGCCACATTATCCCGTGCAACACTTGCCTTTGCATCCACTACAAACAGAAGCATAAAACAGTAATTATCCACCACAGCAAAGAAGTTATACTAGCTGTACAATTAATCATGGTGACCTCGCTCTTTAATAAACTAATTCTGAAACGTGGAGCCTCAGGGAAGACCACACACAGTGTAACTTGTTTAAAGATCCTGTTGTTTTCCTGCACAAAATACAAGCGGCAGCTCATCCATTGTACCTGCCTGCCTGATTTCTTTCCTCTATCCTCTGTCACTGAAGTCAGTGCAAATTTTATGTTCTCTGCACTGCTATCCTAGTGGCAAAGTCAGTGGCTGCAGTTTTTGACTAGTCTAGTGGGCACACTAAAAGAAATGCCAGTCAACTCTGATGTCTTCAGCATTTTAATCAAGTGGACTGGGGGATTCCATTTTGTTTAAGGATATTTTACTTTTGCATTACAGAGCAATATGTAAAAATTAATAAGCCTTGAGACAAAGTTATATATTGATATAACACTTTGAAAGCTAAAATAGGAATAGAGGATGGAACAGAGGAATGATTTTGTTTCCTGGCTTGCCAAATTTCCCAAAGGGCTTTGTAGTCATAGCTTATTTCATTCGTTTTTTCCAACACTGTTTCTTGCCTTGCTGCATCCTTACTACTGTACAATTTCTACTTGCACTTTTCTTCCATTGTCTACAAGTTAGCGTGAGCTGGGGTTCTTAATCATATTTTTCCCCATCAAAATTCTCACAGATAATTCTCCCTTGTATATTCGTGACCATCATACTTTAGATGTGAAAAAAATCTTTTATCTTTAAAGTATATTTTATGATTTACAATGGCACTTTGATCACAACTGAGATGAGAATCCCTAGTACTGTACAGGCAGATAGAAAAAGGGCTGTGCTTTACAGAAGACAAATAAGAGACAGAAGAAAGAAATCTTTCTTATATCTGTTTTGCACATTGGAGACTGAATCACAGACAGATTATGTGGTTTGAAACCTCAGTAAACAAGAGAAGTCTTGTAGAGAGATAAGCCTTACAGCTTCCCCTTGGCTTGAGCTGTTCTTCTCTACTTTTTGACTGGAATATATATAATCTCACTGTCAATCATCACCACAGATTTCAAGCATGAATTTAGATCTAATTATAAATGTGCAGAACTGTCAGTCTCAAACTGACTTGTTAAATTAGAATTTAAAAATTGTCAGTTTCAATGTGAAACTGATATTATTTCAGATGATAATTGTAACTGTCTTTAGTCAATATTATGCCCTTCATACTTTATTGTATAACAAAAAATGAAGCCCTACATACTAATAAAATTTGACTAAGATGTCTTTCATAAAAAAAAGTGAACCTTAAATCTGTATTAAATTCCTTTCAGATAAGAAAGGCCTATTTTTAGATCATAGCTTTCAAAACCACCAGTTCATTTTTACAGTGAAATTACACCAACTCTCTAAATTTTCCCCGGGATTTTACATAATAGTACATGTATGTCAGCATTAAGCAGGCACTATACAGTGATGACCAGTATGTTCTTATCCATTTATTATTATTCTCTTGTGATAGCACTCAGAAGCCAGAATCATGTCTCTGTGCAAAAACAGAACAAAAACACAGTCCCAGCAGCTGGACATAAACATCTCATTCTCAACAACATTAACTCACTGGAAGTCCCCGCTGGACTGTTGTTTCACAGCGCACTGTCCGGGCAGACTGGCAGGAGCTAGGAACTTCCATAAAACAGAGAGGAGAGAAGTGCAAGAGCACATTGGCATGCCAGTGTAAACGTCATTTGACTTTACTGAAATACTTGCCAGCAATAGAGGCAACAGCTGACAAAGCGAGGACTGTCGTGGCAAGATTCACAACTGTGGCTAGCATTTTACCAGCTGCCAGGAGAGCTGGTTCTTTTAGCTTTTTTACTTCTAACATTTTTCTTCTGGAATATGCCTTCTTATTGTGTTCTGTGCATGTGCAAGCGCACAAAGAGGGTAGAGTGCTCAAGTACGTCCCGTTCTGTTCAGGTAAATAGATTTTCATTTCTTTGTGTGTACCCTAATAGGCAAAATTTATTCCCTGGATTCTCTGTTACTATTCAAGTAAGAAAATGACTCATACTGGCAAGAATTTCCATTGTCAGTAATATTCAATATGCACCTATTTGTACATACTGGCATGCAAAGAGATACAGATAACTTTGATCGCCACTCCTTATCACTTAAGGCCACTAAGTATCAGCTCCTAAGCCTCCTAGAGTACTCTGTGAAAAAGGACTGAAGCACTAATTACTTTATAGTTGGAAACCTGGGAAACAAGCCTTAGAAAGGCAAACAGGGCCATGCAAGACAGTCTCAGAAAAAGTAAACACTTCCCCAAGCTAAAAGAATAGAAACAACATCCACTGGAAAATAGTAATAGATGCAGAACTTCTGTTTTGTGTCATAGATAAATAAAACACAGGAAGACTGTATTTAGTATGAAAATAGGTATATAAGCTCATCATTAAGAAAACTAACCAAAAAGTACCTCATGAATCTACCAAAATCCTTTTCTCTCTAATTATCACGGAAGGAATGAAAGACCTGGAAAATATCAATGGCATGAGCTTAGTTCAAACTGTTTCAAGGAACAGTGTGCTCAGACACCAAGCAGAGCAGATCCTACCACCAAGAGAGGAGATGTTATTGCGGTGGGCTGAACAGAAGAGTTTGACTCATGCCATATTCACAAAATAAAATGAAGGAGAAAACAGACTGAGATTCCAGTATTCGGATGACAACATCGTTCAGCCTCTCAAAACATTTCATTTCAGACTTTTTTCTTTCCACAAAGTCTGTTTCATTTTCATTAAGAGTCCCTGCAATTGCCTGTAAATGCACAAAGATGTCCACGAAACTTCAAAGGATCTTCACAAATATCTCTTCCCAAATGATTTCTTCTTCAAAGTAGCAGGCTGAAGCTTATTTCACCTCTCAAGTGAATTCACTGGCCCTTGAACCCCATATGGCAGAAAACTCAACTCCAACTGCTTGCTCTTCTCCAAATTCCATTTATTTTAGAGCACTCTAATCCTTACTGCCCCAACACAGCTTCCACTGTTCCATTTCTCTGTCAGAGCCTTGATGATAAAAGCACACCATTTGTTGCATTCATTCATATAGAAACAGCTATAAGCCAGAGAGCTGAAAGTGGACGAATCTTCGTTTTGAAAGAGAGCCAGTACAATTCCTTCCAAGATTATTTAGCAATCCAGAGGCAGTTAGGAATGGAAGCAAAACCTCCTAAATCCTAGGCCAGTTGTGCGAGTAAATCAAAGTAGCCTACTCTGAATGAGATTAGTAACAACTCTGAAGCTAAAAATTAATGCACAGTTTATATCACTCCTGTGAGATTGCATTTCACACTACTACACAGACATTTTCTAACCAAGTATTTAACGCAAGACAGTCACAGTGCAGGAGATTTGTTCTCCCTTCCCCTTCACTTCAGTAGATATGTAAACAAATGCAAGACTACAGCTGCACAAAGTCCCACTTGTATAAAAACACATTGAAGTTAGATATTTTTTTCTGGGCTTTGCTAGATTAGGCCCATAATTTTTTCCATAACTTTGGAAAAAAAAATGCACAGAGAAGAGTAACGCTTAATATTATGCTGATTCCATTTCCCCAGTCAAAAAAAGTTGCTGACAGACTTTCTCCCCCCTCTTTTTGTATACTTGATTTTAGCAGTAAGCACTTTCCTAGGCCGAGGACAAAGAATAACATCATCTTTGTTGACCAAGAATGGGACAAAGTCTACGGAAGTATCAATGAATTTTAAAAAGCAAGAGGTTCAATTTTAAGAGATAGAACCAGTGAATAAAAGATAATGAACAAACCTCTAAGTCCAGCATAGACTTTAGGTTGACCATATTAACTGCAAAACTGACTGTATAACTATGGTATTATTTCTGCTCATTACAGAACCTAACGTACCCAGAAACCCATACGCAGGTAGTATAGATCAGCTTGCAGTGAAGCATCTGTTTTAGAGGTTTAGGACCAGTTTCAAGTAATCTTAAGATATAGCTCAGCAATAGAGGAGACTGCAGATGCAAGAAGGAATCCTGAGGAGGTGACTGATGTGAAAGGGAAGGTCAGAGCTACCGAGTCAGCCAGGGCCAAAAAGGCTTTCCTAGCTTTTGTTACCTGATTTGCTGTTGCTAATCTGTGGGACTAGCACCAAACCTTGACTGGATACACATGATATGGGAGACAAACTCCTTCAAGAGAGGGACCCAGAGAAATTCTGGCCAGCACTTCAAAGTCACCTCCCCCCACTCCTCCACTATAACCAGATTTCCTCTGAAGTTCAGTTTGCTCTGTTTATTCCAGGCAGCAGCATAAGCAATGTACTGGATAGGCACCTATTTCTGATACTCATCTTTCCCAGATTACCTCCTTCACGTCCCTTCTTTAAACATGCTCCTTTTCCTTAGCCTTTGCTTGCTAGCCTGATTTCAGCAGTTCTGTACCCTCTCATAGCTAATACTTAGACACTGGGAAATCTAAAGAAAGACTTGATCCTGTAATGTCTTACATTGGCAACTTCTTTCCTCCTACCATTTACCCTGACTTCAATAAGGCAATTCATTTTTAGTTATTGTATGAGGAATAACTTGAACTGGCAAGGTCCTCAGCATAGATGTAGATGTCTCTCCTCCTCTAGGCCACTAGCATGTGATGAACATGCCCTACAATAAGTGCTAGAAGTATTTTCTGATACTGTTGCTTTTGATAACAGAAGAATCCATACTTTTTGAAACTGAATCAAGCAGGCCATTAGCTAAAAAACATGGTTAGCATCTCTGGCTATTCTGAATACATGCCAACTACAAACAGGGGTTTTTTTTTTTTTAAGCAATGTAATTATAGCACTGCAGCATTATCTTGTTCCTAGCAATTCACTGATAACTACAGAGACAATAGACTTTAATGGCCATTAAGGCGCCATTAAGGGCTACAGGCAGCATTTGGCACT